ACCTATCGATATATTGTTTGGTTTACTGTTAAAGTAACTGTATGTTTAACTGTATGTCACAACCATCGTCACAGTATGTCACAATCATCGTCTTTTTAAGATTTAAGTTGAAAGATGTTGATAGATAAAAGATACATTTTGCTTAGATCTAACATACAAATGTATATACTTACTTTCTTCTCCATGATATTCACGTATATGTTCTTTGAAATATATAACGCCAAAGCCAGAGAATACCATTGGTGGTAAATGGCAAATTAGCTTTGGCATGTATATAAATACAGTCAAAATCCCGATGAGTCGAAAGCCGGTGTCTCGAATATTATGCATAACTCAAAGTACCCGTCGGTCCCGACCATTCCCTGTTATAGTTGTCATCATTTGAATACCAGTTACACGAATTCGTCTCATAAATACACACGAGAACTCGAGAAGGAAATTGGGTCCCATGAGTTTCAAACAACAGCAATCTTGTATACATAAGCCGAAGTCAGTCAATGAGAAATTGATTGGTTTAGCAAACTGATCCAATTAACAAACCAGCGCGGCTCACACCTTTCCGCATTTGACGGGTGAGTTCAAAAGGCAGATTAGTGATTTTACGGAAATCACTGTCTGTGCTAATCAGACTGGAACTGATAAAGTGTCCCTATTAGTGATATGGAAATCATTAGATAAACAAATGCTTAGACGGAGGAATTAGGACTGGATCATCTTTTTTTTTCTACCCTCATAGACATACCTATGTCTCGAATACATCGATAAGTCGAATTTCTTACTTGGTCCCCAGCGATTCGACTCATCGGGATTTGACTGTAGATCACTGAAAATCACTGGTGATGACACCGGCTGTTTGCATAAAGAGTAAGCATGCCTGACCTACCGGTAGGTTCTGTTTAACCCGCAATAGCACAAGCTGAGATCATGGTCGAGAACAGTGTATATCGTCTTCTTGCTCCAACAATAATACCATCTAACTTCATGGCACAAGTATGAAGCGTTGTCTTGAAACACTTCATCACATTATATGTCACAGGTGAACACTTAATTATGTTAAATGTATAATCATCTTCCCTAAAAACATAATTAATAAAAACATTAATAAATAAATAAAATAATAATGACATCATGGAGGAAATGTTTGCATGTCCTGCCACTCAAACACGTGGTTGCAAGAGGTGACCATATGATGTCGAAACGTGCATCTTAATCATTTTCTTTCGGTATTTACAGATTTACGAGACGCATATTTATAAGTTCGTGACTCTTGTTGAATGAAACGACATCATGCCGCCACATAAACACGATTTAGACTTTTTCCGTAGTTATTTGGTTTGACGGTTACATGATCGTGAGACTTGATTGCGCCTAACATGCACGACTGGATGAGGTGAGGTAAGGTGAAATTTGTATAACGTCGTGGCACGACTGGATCAATCATCATAAACCATATACTGAACATGTACGCGATCATGAATAACTTGTGGCATATTTTTGTATGCTCTGTTTTCTATACAGGAAACTATCCAAGAAACCATTCCTGCCATTTTACGCTTTTGTTTTGCATACATAGATAATTGCTGTTATCGATGACATGTTGGTAAGTTGTGACGATGACGAAGTGAGACACATCATGGTAGCTTTTACACAGAATTCAGATCTAAATGTACATCAGACATGATATTACACAAATAATCTTGTTTTCTTTCAAACAATACACAGACATGTTCTGTCAAGTTGGAGAATATTGTTCTTTCAAATCGATCTCTGTGCAGTATTTCCTTCATGTGACACAAACATTGCAGCACCTGTCCTGTTACGGATCCTGAAATCAAATCCAACTTGACAGCAAAAATACAAAATCATTTGAAAACCTGTCATGTCGAACAAAAAGCTACATATGTGGCAATGAATGTGTTCTTTGTGGATTGAGTTAAGTTGGAGAGACACAATAGAAATTATAGACACAAGTCAACCAGCATAGATCAGGCATCAATTTAAATTTAATTCTGAAAAATTACTCCATTCTGTACATGAAAATAAGGATATTAGAATATACGACCATTTTAATAGCCTAAATGCAGTCGACCTTACAGAAAGTCAAAGTCAAAAGGATACGACCGTTTCGACTGTACAGCAATGCCATATAGAAGTAATAATAAAATAAAAGACGTTGGAAGTCTTTCTACCAGAAGAACTGCCAACGTCAATGTATTTGGTCTGTTTCCGGCATCCCAAAGGTGTCGACGCAGTCATGGTCTCAAAAAGGGACGAAGGCCAAATGACGTCATTCACTCGAAAGAGTTGTTGCTTCTCCTTCAGGAATCATTGGGTTTGCACAAAGTGAGAACAAGACTATAATCTCTGTCATTAAATGAAATTAAACGACTCCAGCAACCTCTGCTGATGGGTGGATTCACAGAACGTAAATTCCACAGTATCGACCAGAGAATATAGTTCGTGATATATTGAAACGTTTGACCAATCCTGAAACAGACTCTGATGAATCAGACAAAGAACACATGTTCCTGAATCTGCAAACAAGGGAATTGATGCCTCATATGTAAGTAACATTCTGAGACAAAAATCAATTTCCCCAAATGTGCCAAAATATTTCAGATATCAGGAAATATCATCAATATACTTATCATATACAAACAGAATTTCATCCAGATTGTACTGACTGACTGACTGAGTTTGGTTTTACGCCGCTTTTAGCAATATTCCAGCAACATCACGGCGGGGGACACCAGGAATGGGCTTCACACATTGTACCCATGTGGGGATTCGAACCCGGGTCTTCGGCGTGACGAGCCAACGCTTTAACCATTAGGCTACCCCACCGCCCCTCCAGATTGTATAGTTATAGGAACGTGTTGCGGAAAGTGGACTTGGCAGATCACGATGTAAATTCCATCTCATGTGGCTCCCAAGACGCATTGTGTTGCTAGAAACATGCTGGACATATAACCACAGCTGACTTCTCCATTGTTGACGAATTTTCGTCCACAACCAGCACAGATCCAAATGGGTGCAAAAGGGAAAACACAGCAGTGAAAATTCTAAGAATTCCAGTGAAAATCACCGATGACACCGGGTGTCCGTGAAAAAGGTAAGCATATCCTGCCGTAACAGCAGCAGAACACGTTTTGGCTACCGCAGCTTCTCTAGAGCAGCCCCTCTTCTCTGGAAGAGCCTTCCACAGGAGATCAGATCCATCACAGAACTGGCTACTTTTTAGTCAAAGCTGAAAACCTAGTTTTTCACTGAAACATATTATTAACAATTTGCAGTTTTGTGCAGGCTCCAAAAAGCGCTTCTGACAGCTACTAAACTGGATACTATAGAAATATCTAGTTATTTAACCAAACACACAAAAGAAAGCGAGTATTTGTTGTTCGGTTGTTTTCGGGATAATGGTTATTCTAAGAGAATGGGATTCTGGAGTGCATATGATGAACTCCTTGTATCTCCTTGTGCAGATTTTATTACATTTTGGAATCAGTACAAATTGGGAATGGGAGAAAGTTTGGGGCGAGGCCTTTTTAGGCCCTAATCAGCTTTCTGATCTTGTAAGCACATATGTCATTAATTGCTGTGTCACTTATATCAGACTCATTAATAAAAAGAATAACGTGTTGGTGCTTTATGTGATGGTCGTGGTATTAATGGCCTCGTCAGTGGCTGAAAACTAACTAACTTGAATGTTCATTTGGGACCTGGATCTTCACGGAGACAAGCATGGGTTGTAGAAGACCAATTCTTATCTGGATTTTCACCAGAGACAAGCATGAATTGTGGAAGACCTATTCTAACCAGGATCTTCACCGGGGGCAAGCATGGGATGTTGAAGATCATGATCTTCACCGGAGACAACCATGGGCTATTAAAGACCAATTCTAACCAGGATATTTACCCAGGACAAGCGTGGGTTGCTGAGGGCCGATTCTAACCTAGATCTTCAGGGAGGAGACAAGCATGGGTTGCTGAAGACAAATTCTTACCAGTTTCTTCACCAGGGACAAGCATGGGTTGTTAAAGGCCATTAAAACACAATCTTATAATTAATTACTTGGGACCCTATCCATAAAGTATTCGTAGCACTACGTCATTCGTAAGTCAATGATAAAATATAGAGTAACTTTAGGCCGTAACGTAACGAACGCTTTCTAGATCGGGACCTTGGTATCTTAAAATACCTCATAATTATGTGCACTTTGTACATTCCTTTCAGATCCGTGAAGGTCAGGGATAGAATGAGCCTTCAGTAACCCATGCTTGTCGTAAGAGACGACTAACGGGATCGGGTGGTCTGGCTCGCTGACTTGGTTGACACATTTTATCGTATCCCAATTGCGCAGATCGATGCTCATGCTGATGATCACTGGTATGGTCCAGACTAGAATATTTACAGACGCCGCCATATAGCTGGAATATTGCTGAGTGCGGCGTAAAACTAAACTCACTCACTCACATTCCTTTTACGTTTGAGTGTCAGTACCAAGTCAAAAACATAATATTATGTGAAAACCTGGATGTAAGAACACTTACTCTGTGAGTGGTTTTATGGTGCTTTTAGTATTGTCCCATTTAGTTAACGACAAGGGTTGCAAATTTACCTATTTTGGGGCAACACAGCCTCCTGGGCGACAACAGAGCGGTCTTATCACGATGCTACCACACTAACAAACGTGTGGATATATCTATGAATGGTACCTAAAGAAAGAAAGAAGTGAGTCACAGATATTTCAAATCTACAAACGTAGCTTTGATATAAATCAGAATGATATTTGCCGTCAATTGTTTATGCGATCCGTCACTCATCGCATTTCACTTCGTGACGTCGGTTAACCTTAATGTTGACTTTAACAGAGGGAGTGAAATTCCAGATTTTAAATAGAATTTAATCGCTAAACAGACGTAAGGATATGAAAAACATTCTGATGCCTTTTGACGTGTGTTGTTTGTGAATCGTCAGTGTTTTGAATAAAAAGACCAGGGTCATTGCTCGTATATGGATACCGCGGTGAGCCAGCAGACGTGCAGGAAAGGCTTTGACAACCATTAAGACTAGTCGTGACGAGGGTAGTGGCAGGACTGATGTGCACGAACTAAATTTGCACAAGCTTGGGCGGTTGTATAACACGCGTGTCAAACGACATCCGCCAGTCACTTTTCGTCGCCATCTTTAGACAATCCAGGACGCCATCTTGACTCTTCGCCACAGGTCAGTGAAAGTACCAAGAAATTTGTTTTGTTGATACTTAGCACCTGCTTTAAGCATACACCTGAGTGAAATTCTTGTGGAATTAAGTTGTTTATTTAATTTTCTTTTAAAATGCATCGTTACACAATTAAATTCCCTTTCAACTCACAACCACACATTTCGGTTTCTGTCTGTTTAACTGTCTGGCATTTAAGGAGTTTTTATATATTTTCTTTAACTTTGTCAAGCATAAACTGTATTTACTTTGTTTCTTTTCGTTCATAAATGAAAAATTGCTTCTTTCATAAGTAGGGTCTTTAAACATTAATTAGTACTGTATCATTTGTATTATTTTCTTACAAGAGTGTGGGCAAACTAGGTGATATCGCTTGTGTCTCCATGTACCAATGTAAAGTTCTCATTTAAAGCGTTAAGGGTATTCAATAAATGTACAGAGGAAAGGAAATATCCCTTATAACCTAAGTTTTTAAAATACACAACAATGTATTCCCGGATAAGCCCGTGTTTCTGGTTTAGTGTTTCGGCGTAATTCTTATTTTTGTTGGGATACTCAGTAGTGCAGAATGAAATTCCGTTAGTCAATACACAGGTTCAAACACCGTTAGTGCTTCTTGGAAACTCAGTTAACATGAATAAGTATTTTGTCTGTGTCAAGTTCTTTAAGGAAATCAGTTGTTTCGGTTGATTTGTGTCATGCCTTCTCCAAACAGTTATGTAGCTGACACCCCGTGATATAACTGAAATATTGTTCCAAGAGACATTGATCTGTTTCATACACTCATGTCTTTATCTGAATTTATGGTATATAAAACACTTCAACTCTCTGCCAAACCCATTCGCCAGAAGTGTCGGTAGAGTTGTAATCACTAATGTATGCATCGTTATATAGCCAACAATATCCAACATTTCATACTAGTAACAATAATTCTCAAACCTGTTTATAAGGTCAAGTGTGGAGATTGAGAGTGTGGAGATTGAGAGTGACGTTACCGTATTTCTTCTATTAAAGCGTGCAAGTTGGCAGGACAGGATGTGTTAACACTTTTAGCAAACACTCTCTGATTCACAGTGATATTTTCATTCACATTCATATGATCTTCCGGGCGGTAGGGTAGCCCAGTGGTTAAAGCGTCCACTCGTCACACCGAAGGCCCGGGTTCGATTCCCACGTGGGTACAATGTGTGAAGCCCATTTCTGGTGTATCCCGCCGTGATATTGCTGGAATATTGCTGAAAGCGGCGTAAAACTCACTCGTATAATCTTTAGATCTATGTTGCCCTTTACGCTGAGTGGAATGTGCGTCGTCGGTGTTTTTCCAGATTTGTTATTCTCTTACGCTGACGGTTTATATTTACAGATTTCAGAAAGATGGCGGAAGCGTGTGTCTCGTTCCTCTATTTCGTGCTGGGGTTCATCCTCATCCCCCTGGCATCCCTCCAACCAGCCCCCGGAGGGACCCAAGTGGAACTGAACATGCTGCAGCCAGCGATGTCTCAAGGGATGATGCAGATGCAGCCACACCTGCATCAAAATCTGGGGATGCAGATGAGGATGCTCCCGCAAGGAATGCACAGCATGCAGGGGATGCAGTCTGGGGGGCTTCAGATGCAGCAACCGGGGTCAGGGCAGCCAGCCTGGATGACAGATGCAAGAGCTAGAGCCGTGCAGATGAACTTTGCCATGGGACCGGAAATGGGAGGCGGCATGACAGGAACCATAGGAGCCAATAACGTAGGCGCTGGAGCCAGCCCTGGATCCCCAGGAACAATTGATGGGATGGGAGGTGGTGTCGGTGCTGGGATGGGTGCTGGCATGGGAGCTGGTATGGGAGGAGCTATGGGTGGGGCGATTGGCGCAGCTGGATTACCTGGCATGGCCTTACAACAAGCCCAGCAACAAGCCCAGCAACAAGCCCAGCAACAAGCTCAGCAGCAAGCTCAGCAACAAGCCATGGCTGCCCAAGGACTAACAAGTCAAGCTGTCGCTAATCAAGGCGCCCAAGCAATGCAAGGAGCGATCGGCGGGGTCCCCCAACCTGACATGCAAATGCAAAACTCCATGTGGGCAGTGGGGCCTTACCCCCAACCAAGCATGATGGGGGGACAGTTTGGAGCGTTCCAGTACCCGATGGGAGGAAACTACCCGGGAGGGGTACCCGGTATGGCGGGTGATCCCCAACTCGCTATCTCAATGATTACGACACCACGACCAGCTGCTGCCGACGTGATTGCTAAAGCTGGTATTGAAGGAACCGTCACCTTAACCCCAGCCGTGACGAAACCCCCAGCGTCCACACCGTATCCTAAGATTCTGTACGTAGATAACCCCAAATTTACTAACGGTATGATTAATTGGAAGGACGTGGCTGATGCGCTGGTTCAAATTGGCAAGGTTCTTAATTGGCTAATGAAATTCTCCTACGCGCAGTGACGACGCTGTATAGAACTACAAATGAATGCCTGATACTATGATGGTATCCCATCCCGAGGAAGCTGTTCTTGTTTTGGCTGACGATTTCGGAAAAGCAGGAGAGACATTGAACTATGCATTGAAATATTTGACAATCATTACAGGAAATTTAAAAGTTGGACATTTTGACTTTGTAAACGACGGCGATAGTTATATAACATCAAGTGTAAGTTATTGTGTCATTAAATCGTATTTATACCTGTATCTTGTGTTTGGGCCAATATTTACTTTACTAATTTGTATCACCCGTAAAGAACCGACTAAAATTGGACTTCAGGAACACATGCTTGTCGTAAGAGGCGACTAACGGGATCGGGTTGTCAGGCTCGCTGACCTGGTTGACACGTGTCATCGTTTCCCAAATACGTAGGTCGATGTTCATGCCATTGATCACTGGTTTGTCTGGTCCAGACTCAATTATTTATAGACCGCCGTCATATAGCTGGAATATTGCTGAGTAAACGTTAAACAACAAACACAGAAGACCAGGACATGAGCAGAATGATCTTCAGCTGTTAATCACATAGTTATGGAATCCTAGAAGGGACATTGTCGCTATGTCGCGTGTCGCCCTTTGGAGGAATAACAAAAATTATTATTCCAAACGCGACACGCGACATCGCGACAATGCGACAAATGGGCGAAATGTCGCGTTGTCGCGATGTCGCGTGTCGCGTTTTTGTTAATTTTGCTTGTATTTGAGAGGGCGACAACGCGACATTGCGACAACGCGACAATGTCCCTTCCAGGATTCCATACATAGTCAACAAGATCAGCACTATAGGGGCCTTACCTTCGTATGTTCAGACCGCTGCCATGTAGCTGTTATATTGCCGAGTGCAGCGTTAAGTAAAAACCAAATCGACATAAAAATTACAGTGTTATTGCATCGAATACAGGAGGAAGCCTCTATAGATGTTTTATGAACACAGTAACTGTGTACCTGTGAGTGAGTATAGTTTTACGCCGCTTTTAGCAATATTCCAGCAATATCACGGCGGGAGATACCAGAAATGGGCTTCACACATTGTATCCAGGTGGGGAATCGAACCCGGGTCTTCGGCGTGACGTGCGAACACTTTAACCACTAGGCTACCCCACCGCCCCACTGCGGACCTGTGGATGAACTTTGCCATGGGACCGGAAATGGGAGGCGGCATGACAGGAGCCAGTGGAGCCAATAACGTTGCCTCTGCTGGAGGCAGCCCTGGATCCCCAGGAACAGTTGATGGGATGGGAGATATAGATAAAACAAAGGTGACGAAACTTTTGCTTATAGTTCCTCTGTTTTTACTGCTGCAGTTAACTAACACGTCTATGAGAAAGCCTGGTGTTAAAGTGTTCGTTCGTCCCTGCGAAGACCATTGTCCGATTCCAAACATGGATACAATATGGTCCATCACCTGTGTTCTCTGCTGTCATGTTGTTTGCGTATTGCTTACACCGGTGTAAAACAATGATCACTCGCTGATAATAAGGAGGATCATTATATATAATCTTACCTATTCATTCCACATGTTTTCTAACTGAGACTAAAACAACAAAGATATTCGGTTCAGAGGTCCAGAGCGGATAAGGCTCAGAAAATTGCCAGTAGGTTGAAACCCAGATACTGGTGGTATTAAACCCGGAACCATATTCAAAGCATATTTTGGGTTGGATTAAGATCCACAGTATTATGGCATGCCTAAGGGAGGTAACTCCACACAGTAACTTCAATGATTCACACTTGAGTGGGTGTAGGAGGACGCGAGTTACCTTAGAACAGCCTGTCAGATATATCAGTGATTTAGGGAGTGATTTGGGTTTCAACCCGGTTAAATCACTGCTTCAATGGTCTCGCTGGATCGGTCATATGCCTGTGGTGAGGAAGATTCGTGGTTTGACGCCTGGTCGCGTCGTGCCAAACGACCCCGGCTGAAGGAAGAATAAGTGCAATGCCCAAGCATTGACGTCAAGACCTCAATTTCACCTTGCAATATATATCTCGGTAGTGTTGTGGGGTAGCCTAGTGGTTAAAGCGTTCGTTCGTCATGCCGAGGGTCGCGGTTTGATTCATCACATCGGTACAGTGTTCGAAACCAATTTTTGCTGTGGCTTGCCGTGATAGTATGGTATATGGCCTTAACTCGCCATACTCACTCACATTAATAGTTTCACGGCTTGTCTGTTCATGTGGTTGGCGTTACCAGTGTGAATTAGGCGTACGCAGGTATAGGGCCTTTAAGTTTCACGAGGCACTACTTCCGGTACTAAGCTGGTTCATGGCTCCCTTTGCGCCTGCGAACTTGCCACATGCGAGACGGGGCCCAGCTTACTTCCGGTACCAGATTTCCGGTGACAAGCATATATTCAAGAACCAGTTCTGGTTCCAAATTGCGCGACCGCCAAATATGACTTTACTAAACCGGACCAAGTGTACAACCATGCTTGGCTGTCACCTGTTGACAGCTGTAATAGTTGGCTATGTTGGGGATGGTTAGGTTGGAAATTTGTTATTCCTGCAAGGATTATCGGTTCCTTACAACCGGTTCAACTGACAACCATGAGACCATTCGAAAAGGTATGAAACGTTGTTTGTGACCGGAAGTACTAAGGTCTCGCGAAGTGCCATGACCTACATACTTACAACTTTCAACCAGTGAATCATGACAGACATGGGAGACAACTGTAAACAGCAAATTGTTGTGTCTTGACTAGTGCCTTCAAACATACAATGCGTGGCAATTATCGCGTTGTACTAAAAGTGGTACGGCATACGCGGGGTTTTGTATGTTTATTGTCTACATGCTGACTCCAGTATTCTAATGCAATTACGATCAAATTATGAAAAGGGTAATATATTATATAATATGTGTACACACGTGTTACGTCAACGTAGTGATTTATCTGTATTTAAGGATGAACTAGAGGCTTTAGTATCAGCCAGGGCAGCCTTGACTAATGGAGTTTAACTTCTTAATTTTCGATGTGAGTTCATCATAACGTTACTGCACATTTATCAAACATGAACAATCATAACCCTATTATAAATATACTTTGAAAAGTCTTGACGAATTTTCTGATAACCACTTTCAAAGTATTTTGAAACTTGGTAAATTGTTTTGAAATTCTTCAAAATGTTTTTTCTTTTCTTTTTTTAAATTGTAAAATGTTCTTTTAAACGTTTGTATTGGCTTATGTTCACTAGGTAAGTCTCAGATTAATTATTTAAGTAGTGTTCTGATAATCATTTGTAATATATTCCGATATTCAGTTCCTAAATGTCCTGCTAATCCGTGATTAATCCACAACGAAGGCAGACCCATGGATAAGTGTCCACTAAGTCATTTCAGCACAGGAGACGAATAGTATTGCAGTTGTTGTTGCTTTTGTTCGCTGGCAGTTGTGGATTGACTTTGTTATATTTTATATTATTCTTTCCAAACACCCATGAAATACCACCGAGAAATTATTCTAAAAGGCTATTAATTACATGTAAATAGAAGTAGAAGCGACAAAACCCATTCCTCATCCATAAGAGATCTCTGCTAAAAGCCGTCGATTGTACAATTGTCGATTGTACAATTGTGACTATATCATGAGTGTACATTTGTTTCAGCAGTATTACACGTGTGTACGATGTTTTTAGTAAACAAATCGTGTCTGGACCAGACAATCCAGTGATTATCACCATGCGATACAGTGACTGAATCACTATGAAACAAATACTAGCGCCTTGAGCATGTGCTAGTTGCGTGGATATGTGCGCTACATAAATATCCAATAATATATATCATAATAAATAGTGATGATACCAGGTGTTCGCAAGAACATGCCCCACCGGTGGCACCCGTAAACAAGGAGAAGGTTTTGTTAAACATGGACCCCAAAACGCACGCAAAAGCTATAATCCAACGTCTCTCTCAATGATGACATATTTTCAAAAGCAGGACTGTACACAGTGTCATGTTTTCAGGATTCCGTGTTTAATTGCGTGTTCTGCAGCGACCTTCTGCCAAGAATAGTTGTGTCTTTCATGTTGTCATGCCGGAAGCCGCATTTGGGACATGCGCAGTTGACAAAACAATCACAACAAGCAGGTCTACCAGAACACGCCAAGTCATTACTCATCCCTAGCCAAAATGTCGTCATTTACATAGCGGGTTGAAAGGCTGTGAGTTTAAACAATTCCATAAGCAGACACATAATGAAATTACTGAAGTTCTGAATCAAACTCTCAATTTACTTCAAGGCAGTTCTGATAAGGCTCTGAGACATCTTTGATTGGTATTTTGGAAGTTAAGAAGTACAATACTGACATATTTATTGACAACACTTTCTTTTATTTTGTGAGTGCAACGTTTTGGTACAGACAACGGTACAAGAATCCCTGTCGCAACGTCCCACTCACAAAATATAAGAAATTGTCAACACATTTGTCTTAACCCTGAGACTTTGTTGATGTCTTGTCTTTGCACGCCGGCTCATTGGCCATACTATCAACCAGTGGATTACCTGATCCAGAATAGGTGTTTTGGTTAAAACATTTCCGTTAAACTTGATTGGTAAACATGTCTCGCGAGTTATATACTGCCTGACTGACTGAGATTAGTTTAACGCCGCTTTTAGCAATATTCCAGCTATATCACGGCGGGGGACACTAGAAATGGGCTTCACACATTGTACCCATGGAAATACGAGCCAAGCTTTATCCACTAGAACCACCGAGTTATATACATGGACTACAGTACTACATACAATCAGTGGAATTCAAGGTATTGAGACAGAGCCAGTGAATTCTATGGAGGCGAGTTTGGTTTGTATTATCGTCCCTTGGTTGGACTAATATTGTCTGTGGCCAAAATATAATAAACGAAAAATGATTCTGAATATTTTTAATACACAAAACGAGTTTCAGATTGTGGGTCAAGAGCAGGATTAGATTCTCAGCAGCATTGGCGGATCATGCTGAAAATGAGCGATAATTGTATTGAAAAACCTGGTTTCAATTTCAGAAGATGCATCTGGAATGAACCATTAATTTTACCGTTCCTTGTCATGTAATGCACGTGCATGGGCTAAACCACTTTTTGCATTCAAGCATGACATTTTGGCAGTTGTTTTTGCAATCACAATGAATCTGGTGGTTTTCGTTTTTCTTTTTCGTCGTTGTCCATTTTCCTACTTTCGGAAAGGTAATCCAGTCAGTGTGACAAGGATATGAACAGAATTGTCGTCAGCAGCGGATTACATATTCAACAAGCTAAGACCTATAGATGCCTGTGGGTATATGTTAATGTCTAGCACCCTGCATCCATAAGTGACCCTTCGGTAATGGCGATCAGTATATTTGGAACATTACTTTTTTCCTTGTCCCCGGTACATGTACCTGCATGTAGGTTAATGGTATGTGAGTTTTTTAATGACCTGCTTGAGAAGGTCTGGAGCCTGATATAGAACACATAAGCCTTTATCGCTTGAGAGTTATGCTTACCTGGCAGTTTGAGTACGCGGAAACTTGGCACCAGGAAATATATTTTAATCCTCTTGTTGAGAGTTTTTTAGAGGCATTTTTGACACAGTGACTTCTGTTACAGGGGATTGGCCATGTTTGTTGGAATTGTAAAGTTAATGATGCACGGCGAGGAATTCCGGTCACAAATCAAAAGAAACGTGTAACATATTGTAGCTGATGTGTCTGGAGAGTCAATGTGATTAAATGTGTGTTTAACATACATACCACCAATGCTTTACAAAATAACAATGTTTATGATCAGCACTCACAAAGCCACTTCTACTGCCACGATTATTTATACTCCTTCTGCTGCTACTACCACTGCTGTTGGTGGTGCTACCACCATTACTACTACTACTACTACTACTACTACTACTACTACTACTACTACAACTACTGCCACTACTACTGCTACAACCACTGCTACTACTACCACTACTACTACTACTACTACTACTACTACCACTACTACTACTGCTACCACTACTACTGCTACCATCACTACTACTACTACTATTACTACTACTTCTACTACCACTACTACTGCTACTTCTAGTACTACTACTACTACTACTACTACCACTACTACTACTACTACTACTACTACTACTACTACTACTACTACTACTACTGCTACCACTACTACTGCTACCATCACTACTACTACTACTATTACTACTACTTCTACTACCACTACTACTGCTACTTCTAGTACCACTACTACTACTACTACTACTACTACTACCACTACTACTACTACTACTACTACTACCACTACTACTACTGCTACCACTACTACTGCTACCATCACTACTACTACTACTATTACTACTACTTCTACTACCACTACTATTGCTACTTCTAGTACTACCACTACTGCTGCTGCTACCACCACCACTACTACTACTACTACTACTACTACTACTACTACTACTACTACTAACTACTACTACCTCTACTACCACAACTGCTGCTGCTGCTGCTACTACTGCCAGACATCAGTTATATACGTGAGCGAATGATAAAAAACTATTTTGTTGCTATATACAATGTATATATTACCATCATATCCAAATTTGTTCGAGACGAAGTGGTCAGCAATTTTAAAGAAATGTATTTAAGCACATAAAATCACGGAAAGAATATAAATTCATGGCATGACGGTTTTAACCTGTAATTAACCAATTGGTAAGCTGAGGGCGCGCATCGTGCAGTTCATCCCTATTGCGGTTGGCATGCATATAAAAGTACGCGTGACTGTCACTCAAGCGGAAGGCCGTTTAGTGCATGCGCAGTTGTGCAAGAAACAAGATGGCGACCTTCTGCAAAATTGTCACACAAACGTGACCTGAAACCGACCTCGAGAGGTCATGACGTATGTGATGGACATTATCTAAATACAGAGGTCCGAACAAAACCCGACCACACGGAAAGTGTCAGGCCAGCGTTATTAACGGAACTACATACAGGGCGCAGCTAGCGAGAGGTAAGTTGGCTGAAAACGGATTAATTTACCCATTAACCTGGTACCCAAATCAACAAACAGCATTTCTATTAATCCCAAATGAGCACTTGTTGCGCGACCTATGATTTTATTTCTTTCATTTTCAAAACATAAAAGCTGATTTTTTTTCCCCCTTTTTCTTATAATATGATTGATACTTTTAAAATGTATTTTAGATAGCTAAAGATATGTAGAAACGGGAATCAAAAGTACTTTATGTTCCCTTAAGAAATTACTTTTATTTCATACACAATTGAATTTACTGCGGTATATATTTTAGTGAGCATAACCCCCTCTGCAATCCGGACTAACACCCTTGGATAATGTGACTTTTGAACATTAACCGTTTTATTTATAAGTATTCCGATAAAAAGTATATACATTTGACAGTTGCTAGATAGACAGTTTCTTCATTTTAAGTTTAAATTTAATTATTCATTAGTTTATTTCACATTTCTCATTACATTAAAATGGGAATTCGCGTTTAGTTGATTAAAAGGAGAATTCAGTTCAGATTAGTTGACTGAAAGGTAAGTCAAAATGTATGTAGCTAAGTTTAATTTCCACTGCGCACCAAATATTTTCCTTCTGATTTCTTACTTGAGTTAAGCTTTAATTACTGGAGTTAGGGTTGCTTTTGATGATATGAATCAAACTTGTTGTTTTCCAAACTGGCTTAAAACCAGTCTCCTTTTACCAAATCGATCCTTAGACTGTAATCATTTCGCTTTGTGAGTTGGAATTACTGAAGATGTAGAGACAGTGTTTTCCGCAAGTTCCGTTCTTCAAAATGTGCATCACATTTAATTTATACATATGTATATAAACAGAATACATAAAGGGGACGCGAGTTCTTTTGATTTATATCCAATTGTAGATTGTAGATAAGTTTATTTTAATGATATCAAATTTAATTTTTTCAAAACAAAAAGACAAAAAAAAAAAACGATTTTCGGATTTGTAACTAACGCAGTTATCTGATTTGCGGTGTTTATTCAGTATTTAACACCCGTTAATTTTATATGGAACTGACCTATCTGGGCATGTGCTTATGAATTCCAAATGTTCTCGAAACCCTCAGCATCTCCTGCAACACCGGTGGCACACAGCAATTACACTGATGCAAAGTCAATTGTTCAACTAAACATAACCAAAGAGTGAGTGAGTGAGTGAGTGAGTGAGTGAGTGAGTATGGTTTTACGCCGCTTTTAACAATATTCCAGTTATATCACGACGGGGGACACCGGAAATGGGCTTCACACATTATACCCATGTGGGGAATCGGACCCGGGTCATCGGCGTGACGAGCGAACGTTTTAACCACTAGGCTACCCCATCGCCCCACATAACCAAAGAACGCAAAATACAAGTGAAAATAGAGAATCGCATCGGACATTCGTTGAAGTTTCAAGTTTGGAAATGTTCGCAACTTGTCTTAAAAAAATCAGGTTTTGAAATCCTTTCAGACAATTGAATGTTATGAGCGTTATCAAACAACTTTTAAGCAGATGTCAATCAGTATTTGTTTTGGCAGAAATACTGCAGATATTGCCATAGTACAAATGAGTGGGGTTAGTGGAAACAGAAATATTATTTGATTATAGTTTATGGCAATTCCTTATTTTGACACGTACCATATACATTCCCGAATTATTTCAGGTGAACGATTGACTAGACTTTGCATGTGTTTATGACGGGTGCCACCGGTGGGGCAGGATACGCTCACCTTTTCCCGAACACTTCACATTATCGCTATTTGATAGTCATTCATGGAACACATGGTCATAATACAGTCGGAATTGTACCATGTACTGTACCATGAACTGTACCATGTGCTGTAACATCTCTTTAGCAGAGGTTTCTTACGCATGTGAAAGGTTTTTGTTGATTTTATTTAACAATCTTTATACATAAAATTTTCGTTTCTGAATTTCATTGCATGAGCGAACTAAGCGCTTTGTTAATACTCTGATATTTAAATATTTTATTAATTCGTTATCCGCAAAGTAATTTAATGACTGGTACATAGATAGCTAGGGTTATGAGTGAGTGAGTTTAATTTTACGACACTTTTAGCAAAATTCCTGCGAGGGACAGCTACAGATGTATGTGTAATGTACACCGTCATAACATGAGAACTAAGTGCTAGTTGTGTCTATTGGCTGTAAATTTGTTATGGCACAGTCCACATTAATCTGGGAGAGTATATATATCTTCCCGTTTCAATATGCATTACATGGGTTCTATATGTCGCAAATTCAATTCTATATTTGAGAGTGGCTTCAAAATATATTCTCCTGTCCTAGATTCTTCTGTAACATAATGCAATGGTGGAATATTGGACATATTATTCATGATAAGTGCCATTTTCAAATATACATGCTATTGAATGTGTAAAGGGGCGTTGGGGAAGCCTAGTGGTTAACGCGTTCGCTCGTCACGCCGAAGGCTCGAGTTCGATTCCCCACATGGGTACACTGTGTGGAGCCAATTTCTGGTGTCCCCAGCTGTGATATAGCTGGAATATTGCTAAAAGTGGTGTAAAACTAAACTCACTCACTCACTTACTTAAAGCGAACGCTTTAACCACTAGGCTACTCCACCGCACCAAAGTATGTTAGGAAGACATGAACCTTCAACAACAACTTCCTTCTTGTCAGTAACGACGTGACGCTATTTCTTGCCTAAGAGGCGACTAACAGGATCGGGTGGTCGGGCTCGCTGACTTGGTTCACACATGTCATCGGTTCCCAATTGTGTAGATCGATGCTCATGATGTTGATCTCTTTATTTTCTGCTCCGGACTCGATTATTTACAGACCGCCGCCAAATAGCTAGAATATTGCTAATTGCGGCGTAAAACTAAACTCACTAACTCACTCACTCACTCTTCAAAAGCGTGGGGTAGCCTGTGGGGGTAGCATAAACCCATACTCGCTCACTATTGTCTCTTCATCAGCGGAATCACGACTTTACCCTGAAAAACCGTTAAAAACGAAAAAGAATGATTGAGTTTAGTTTTATGCCGCTTTTAGCTATATTCCAATAATATCACGGCGGTGATACCATATATTGGCTTCACATATTGTACCTATGTAGGGAATCGAACCTGCGTGTTAGGCGTGAGGAAAGAAGTTATCCTTAAAAAATGTTATATCATGAAAAAGACGTGATTTATAGTTGACAACTACACCTATTATATGTGTATATTTACAGATACACAGCCATGCCTCTCCTTCCCGCCATCGTAGTTGTCCTGTGTTCCGTCTGTACAACCAGCGCACAGACTGGTGAATGCTGCGCCAAGAACTGCTGCACGTACAAGTGTTGCCAAGGACAAGGACTCGCCAACAAACTAGCAGCGGATCCTGCTTCCACGGGTAACATCGGAGTGGGAGGCAGTGACCCTACTCTCGGTACAGGCTCGACCACGGCATTCTTCTATGACACGGCAGTGGGTCAAAATGCAATCGGTGGAGGATATAGCAGCCACGGTGCAGGGGGAACCCCGACTGGGTTGTTTCCTTATCCTGCGGAGGTTGTGAACTATCTTGACCTCTCAGCTACATCAAGCCTGGGATCTGCCAGGGCCGATGCTGTTGCTGCAGCAGCTGAAAATGCAGAGCGTCAAGCCGAGGCCATTAATGAGGCGGCGACAGGGTTTAGAAACAAACTCGAAAGAGCAGGGATGTCCTCTGATTTGCAAATAGCTGTGTTTGGAGGCGGTCTCGGTGGACACGGCGTGGGAGGTTCAAGTTCAGGTTCGGGATCTGCAATGAACACACTTGTGCAATTTGGTGGAGGGTATCAAGCTGGTGTTCCAGTTCAAGCACAGCCAGCTAGCCAAAATGGTGTTGCAGCAGGTGCACAAGCTGAGACATTGACCACCTCACAAGCACAAGCACAGGCTCAAGCACAGGCCCAAGCACAAGCTCAAGCTCAAGCTCAAGCACAAGCACAAGCCCAGGCCCAAGCTCAGGCACAGGCACAAGCACAGGCTCAGGCTCAAGCACAGGCCCAAGCACAAGCACAAGCACAAGCCCAGGCCCAGGCCCAAGTTCAGACACAGGCACAAGCACAGGCTCAGGCTCAAGCACATGCCCAAGCACAAGCACAAGCTCAAGGACAAGCACAAGCCCAGGCCCAAGCTCAAGCACAGGCTCAAGCACAAGCTCAAGCACAGGTAGAAGCACAAGCTCAGGCTCAGGCTCAGGCACAGTCACAAGGTGGAATTCAGGTCCTTCCAGGACCTCCTGGCTCAGCAATGCAGGTAAACCAAGCTGGTAATACAAACCTGGAAGCAGCTGCTCTTGCCATGGCTGAAGCCGCTGCTGGTGTCGAAACTGCTCAGTCCGCTGCTGAACAACCTAATGTCGATGGATTTTCCAATTTCTTCAACAAGCCAACTTTCCTAGATGCCCAAGTCGACCCGGAGATAAAGGCCAATGTTAATATAAACAGCGTGGAACCTGTGAAAGGTGCACAAGCAGAAACAAATCTTTTAGGATCCTTTGGTATTGCAAACAATTCACCACCGTGGGTTGGGTTTCCAATGATGGACGACGCTGGGGAGGGAGCTCAAAGTATTGTTGATGTCAATGCAGCAGGAGGAGGTTCGGCAATAGGTTCAGCACAAGCAGCGGTAGGTTCACAAGCAGCTGTTAATGTCATATCACAGGAAGGAGCTCAAGTACTTGGCTCAGCACAAGCTACAGGGGCCTCCCAGGCCATTAGCAACGTCGTTGCAGCAGATGGGGGATATGCAGTGGGGTCATCACAAGCAGAAGGGGGTTCCCAGGCATCGGCAAACGTTGCAGCTGCAGAAGGAGCTCAAGCGATTGGTTCAGCACAAGCACAAGGTGGATCACAGTCGATCAGTAATACTGTCGCTGCTCAAGGGGGAAACGCAGTTGGTTTAGCACAAGCTTCAGCAGCTTCACAGGCCCTTGCGGATGTTGTTGCAGCACAAGGGGCCCAAGCATCCGGATCTTCACAGGCCATGGGAGGCTCACAATCTCTTGCTAATGTCTTAGCTGCTGGAGAAGCTCAAGCAGCTGCAATGGCACAAGCTATAGCAGCTTCACAAGCAGCTGCTGATGTTGTTGCAGCACAAGGGGCCCAAGCATCCGGATCTTCACAGGCTATGGGAGGCTCACAGTCTCTTGCAACTGTTTTGGGTGCAGAGGACGCTCAAGCAATGGGTATGGCACAAGCTATAGCAGCTTCACAAGCAGCTGCTGATGTTGTTGCAGCACAAGGGGCCCAAGCATCCGGATCTTCACAGGCCATGGGAGGCTCACAGTCTCTTGCTAATGTCTTAGCTGCTGAAGAAGCTCAAGCAGCTGCAATGGCACAAGCTATAGCAGCTTCACAGGCAGCTGCTGATGTTGTTGCAGCACAAGGGGCCAACGCATCCGGATCTTCACAGGCTATGGGAGGCTCACAGTCTCTTGCAACTGTTTTGGGTGCAGAGGACGCTCAAGCAATGGGTATGGCACAAGCTATAGCAGCTTCACAAGCAGCTGCTGATGATGTTGCAGCACAAGGGGCCCAAGCATCCGGATCTTCACAGGCCATGGGAGGCTCACAATCTCTTGCTAATGTCTTAGCTGCTGGAGAAGCTCAAGCAGCTGCAATAGCACAAGCTATAGCAGCTTCACAAGCAGCTGCTGATGTTGCAGCACAAGGGGCCCAAGCATCCGGATCTTCACAGGCTATGGGAGGCTCACAGTCTCTTGCAACTGTTTTGGGTGCAGAGGACGCTCAAGCAATGGGTATGGCACAAGCTATAGCAGCTTCACAAGCAGCTGCTGATGTTGTTGCAGCACAAGGGGCACAGGCATCCGGATCTTCACAGGCAGCAGGAGGCTCACAGTCTCTTGCTAATGTCTTAGCTGCTGAAGAAGCTCAAGCAGCTGCAATAGCACAAGCTATAGCAGCTTCACAGGCAGTTGCTGATGTTATAGACGAAGCAGGACAGGGAATGGGTTCAGCACAAGCATTAGGTGGCTCACAGGCAGCAACAAACGTTCAAGCAACAGGGTCGGCTCAATCCCAGGTTGGGAGTGATTCACAGTTAATGGCAAACCTTTTAGCAACTGAGGAAGCTGCCGCTTTGCAGGCACTTGCTGGTGTTCCAGGGCAAGAGTCTCAGGTAATGGGATCTTCACAAGGAGGAACTGACTCCAATGTGTTAGGAGCTGCAGAAGCACAAGAAATAGCTATGGCACAGGCAATAGCAGCTTCACAGTCGAATGCTGATATTGCTGCTGTTTGGGGATCTCAAGCTGCTGCTGGTGGACAGTCAGCTTCTGGTGCTCAGGCAGCAGTAGAGGCCAATGCAGTATCAAATGTTCAGGCAGGAGCGGTTCCTCAAGCACCAGCAAATGTTCAGGCAGATCAAGGATCACAGGCGGCTGCAGCTGTTCAAGCAGCAGCTGAAGCACAAGCGATGGCTAATGCTATCGCGGCTGTAGAAGCAGAGGCGTTGGCTTTAGCTCAATCACAAGCCAATGCACAAGCAGCGGCAAATGCACAAGTGGCAACGGCGGCTCAAGGAGGGGTTCAAGTTAATTCTCATACATCTCAAGCAGATGAGCAGCTGCTTGCACAAGCTATGGCACAGGCACAAACACAGATTCAAGTTCTCACACAGTCCCTCTCAGCTGCAGATGCTCGAGCACAAGCCCATGCCACAGCACAAGCCCAGGTAGCAGCGACATTGCAGGCACTTCTTCAGGCGGAAGCAGGGGCTTTTTCGACAGCTGAAGCACAAGCTTGGGCCCAAGCGAAGACGGCTGCAGATTCTCAACTGCAACTTTTGGGTCAAGCACAGGCATATGCATTGGCAGAGGCTACTGCTTTAGCTGAGGCAGTGGCATCAGCTCAATCGATACTACAAGTCAACACACTAGCAGGTGTACAGGTATTAGCAAAGGCACAGGCCGATGCTGAGGCTTACGCTGCCACTGCTGCTGAAACTGAAGCGATAGTAATAGCAGATGTACAAGCTGTTGCAGCCATTCAGGCCCAAGCTGAAGCAGAAGCTCGGGCACTTGCAGCTGGGAACGCACAAGGTGGTGCACAGACACAACCAGAGGCCCAAGCACAAGCACAAGCACAAGCTCAAGCTCAAGCTCAAGTTCAAGCTCAGGCACAAGCTCAGGCACAAGTGCTGGCTATAGATCAAGGACAAACTGGCGGAGAGGCCGGGGCTCAAACTCAAGCGCAAGCACAGAATGAGACCCAGGCACAGATCCAAGCTCAAGCTCAGGCACAAGAATATGCACAAGCACAAGCTTTAGCACTAGTACAAACACAATCAGAGGACGACGATCAAGCTATGGCACAAGCACAAGCTCAGGCACTAGCACAGGCTCAGGCTCTGGCACAAGCAGAGGCTGCTGCCCAAGCGCAGGCACAAGCTCAAGCAGATGCACAGGCGCAAGCACAAACACAAGCACAAGCAGAGGCACAGGCGCAAGCACAAACACAAGCACAAGCTCAAGCAGATGCACAGGCGCAAGCACAAACACAAGCACAAGCGGAGGCACAGGCGCAAGCACAAGCACAAGCTCAAGCAGTGGCCGCAGCACAAGCACAAGCACAAGCTCAAGCACAAGCTCAGGCACAAGCTCAAGCAGATGCTCAGGCGCAAGCACAAGCTCAAGCACAAGCACAAGCTCAAGCAGACGCACAGGCGCAAGCACAAACACTAGCACAAGCAGAGGCCCAGGCGCAAGCACAAGCACAAGCAGAAGCTGCTGCACAAGCACAAGCTCAAGCAGTGGCCGCAGCACAAACACAAGCTCAAGCTCAAGCACAAGCTCAGGCACAAGCTCAAGCAGATGCCCAGGCGCAAGCACAAGCTCAAGCAGAAGCCCAGGCGCAAGCACAAGCACTAGCACAAGCAGAGGCCCAGGCGCAAGCACAGGCACAAACAGTTGCCGCGGCACAAGCTCAAGCAGATGCCCAGGCTCAAGCAGAAGCACAAGGTCAAGCACAAGCAGAGGCTGCTGCCCAAGCTCAAGCTCAGGCACAAGCTCAAGCTCAAGCAGATGCACAGGCGCAAGCACAAGCTCAAGCACAAGCCCAAGCAGAGGCACAGGCGCAAGCACAAGCACAAGCTCAAGCAGTGGCCGCAGCACAAGCACAAGCAGAAGCTCAAGCACAAGCTCAGGCACAAGCTCAAGCAGATGCCCAGGCGCAAGCACAAGCTCAAGCACAAGCACAAGCTCAAGCAGAGGCCCAGGCGCAAGCACAAGCACAAGCAGAAGCTGCTGCACAAGCACAAGCTCAAGCAGTGGCCGCAGCTCAAGCACAAGCAGACGCCCAGGCTCAAGCACAAGCTCAAGCACAAGCTCAAGCAGATGCACAGGCGCAAGCACAAGCACAAGCACAAGCAGAAGCTGCTGCACAAGCACAAGCTCAAGCAGTGGCCGCAGCACAAGCACAAGCTCAAGCTCAAGCACAAGCTCAGGCACAAGCTCAAGCAGATGCCCAGGCGCAAGCACAAGCTCAAGCAGATGCACAGGCGCAAGCACAAGCTCAAGCACAAGCCCAAGCAGAGGCACAGGCGCAAGCACAAGCACAAGCTCAAGCAGTGGCCGCAGCACAAGCACAAGCAGAAGCTCAAGCACAAGCTCAGGCACAAGCTCAAGCAGATGCCCAGGCGCAAGCACAAGCTCAAGCACAAACACAAGCTCAAGCAGACGCACAGGCGCAAGCACAAACACTAGCACAAGCAGAGGCCCAGGCGCAAGCACAAGCACAAGCAGAAGCTGCTGCACAAGCACAAGCTCAAACAGTGGCCGCAGCTCAAGCACAAGCAGACGCCCAGGCTCAAGCACAAGCTCAAGCACAAGCTCAAGCAGATGCACAGGCGCAAGCACAAGCAGAAGCTGCTGCACAAGCACAAGCTCAAGCAGTGGCCGCAGCACAAGCACAAGCTCAAGCTCAAGCACAAGCTCAGGCACAAGCTCAAGCAGATGCCCAGGCGCAAGCACAAGCTCAAGCAGATGCACAGGCGCAAGCACAAGCACAAGCAGAAGCTGCAGCACAAGCACGAGCTCAAGCAATGGCCGCAGCACAAGCACAAGCTCAAGCTCAAGCACAAGCTCAGGCACAAGCTCAAGCAGATGCCCAGGCGCAAGCACAAGCTCAAGCAGACGCCCAGGCGCAAGCACAAACACTAGCACAAGCAGAGGCCCAGGCCCAGGCCCAGGCGCAAGCACAAGCACAAGCACAAGCAGTGGCCGCGGCACAAGCTCAAGCAGATGCCCAGGCACAAGCGCTAGCACAAGCAGAGGCCCAGGCACAAGCAGAAGCTCAAGCAGTGGCCGCGGCACAAGCTCAAGCAGATGCCCAAGCGCAAGCACAAGCACAAGCAGAGGCCCAGGCGCAAGCACAAGCTCAAGCAGTGGCCGCAGCACAAGCACAAGCAGACGCCCAGGCTCAAGCACAAGCATTAGCACAAGCAGAAGCTGCTGCCCAAGCACAAGCGCAAGCACAAGCACAGGCACAAGCTCAGGCACAAGCAGAAGCTCAAGCACAAGCAGAAGCACATGCCGAAAGAGATCGTAAAGCTTTAGGGAAACTCAAGGCACAGGCAGAAGCAAATATCAGGGCCTTCTCGCAAGCATTAGCTGCTGCGGATGCTGAGGCCCAGGAATATACCACAACTCTAACATCGACAGTTGCACAGGCGAATTCCCTGGCTCAGGCACAGGCAAATGCTAAGTCGAAAGCTGAGGAAGATGAGTTTTCTCTTGCTAAAACAGCTGCCGATTCGTTAGTCCATATATTAACACAAGCACAGGCACATGCAACTGCTGAAGCTGCTGCCTTTGCTACTGCTATGGAAGCTACTACAGGCATAATCCAAGCACAGAGCATTGCGCATGCACAGTCACTAGCACAGGCTCGGGTGACTGCAGAAGCTCAAGCCCGAGCTGAAGCTGAAGCTAAATCGTTAACAACAGTGGAACTTCAAAAAGCTTTAGAAGCACTAGCTAAAGCTGAAGCAAATGCACAAGCAGTGTCGATGGCAAACGTAGATGCAAAGGCAGCTGCACAAGTGCAGGCTAAAGCAGAGGCTAAAGCAAGAGCAGAAGCTCAGGCTAAAGCAGCTGCACAAGCACAGGCGAAAGCACAGGCAGCAGCACAAGCACAGGCAGCAGCACAAGCACAAGCAGCTGCACAAGCACAGGCTTCAGCTCAGGCAGAAGCTAAAGCTAAAGCACAGGCAGAAGCAAGGGCATCTGTGGAAGCCTCAGCTCAGTCAAGCAGGAATACAACAGGTGCCTCCATGAAACCAAAGAGACATGATGTCCCTGACTACTTGACCCTTGATGAACTACGTGAGTATATCGCTGTCTCCCTGTTACTCGTGTGTTGCCTAGTCTCTAGGGACAGACTCAACCTTAAACACGAAACATCTCATCTAAAAAACAACAATATGTTTTATCGGGGTTTTTATGTTATCTCATGACTGTAAAAATATGAAATAATTATTCAAGATAAATAGATAGATACAAATACATTCCAAGCTCTTTCGACGATGATGTTTTCACCTGCAGCATTTCTGCGTCATACGGGCACCATTTACACGTTGAAAAAGGTGATGTTAGATGAGCAAGGTTATGGTCAGTTTTCATATGTTCAAAATGTGGGGGCGGTGGGGTAGCCTAGTGGTTAAAGCTTTGGCTCGTCACGCCGAAAACCGGGGTTCGAATCCCCACATGGGTACAATGTGTGAAGCCCATTTCTGGTGTCCCCCGCCGTGATGTTGCTGGAATATTGCTAAAAGCGGCGTAAAACCAAACTCAGTCAGTCAGTCAGAAATGTGATGCTTTGGACATGTATACGTCTTACAACGACCAACAGTCGCTCGTTGAAATGGGGGCAGGGTAACTTCTTTGAGTAGCATTTTAGAATTTGGGAAGTACAATATTGAACAAATTTAATGGATAGCAACTTCTTTTATTTCGTGAGTGCGACGTTTCGATACAGATTCCTGCTTGACAACGGGACAAGAATCTGTATCGAAACGTCGCTCGCACAAAATGAAAGAAGTTGTTATCCATAAAGTTTGTTCAATATGGGGGCGGGGTAGCCTAGTGGTAAAAGCGTTCACTCGTCACACCGAGGACCCGGGTTCGATTCCCACATGGGTACAATGAGTGAAACCCATTTCTTGTGTCCCCCGCCGTGATACTGTTGGAATAGTGCTAAAAGCATCGTTAAACCATACTCACTCACTTTTGCCATACAATTCAGTGTTGTGGCTTTACTTGACTTTAGAGTTTCTACAATGCTTTCTGCAGAAATCTAAATATTGATTAGATAAACACGTTAATTTACTGAAATGAAATAACTCACTCACTCACTCATTTAGTTATAGATTTACTTTTACTTGATGCGAGTGACTTTTATTCCAAAACTAGTTACTTTTTAGCTTTATCCGGCTATGATGCAAAAGAAGTAATTTAATCGCAGTTTACGTACTTTTGAAAAAGGTTCAATGTGTAAAACGAATACTATAACGTAAGAAAGATGACATAATAATTTGTATGAAACTTTCAGTAGAAGAGTGTTTGGTTTTACGCCGCTTTTATCAATATTCCAGCAGTATCACGTCGGGGGACACCAGAAATTGTTTCACACATTGTACCCATGTGGGGAATCGAACCCGGGTCTTCGGTGTGACGAGCGAACGCTTTAACTACTTGACTGAAACAAGCGAAGCTACATTAATGCCCCTTTTAGTGCCAAAAAAGTGTTTAAAACATAAAATGTTTATAACTAGTTGTTTTCCACAAGTTTGGATTTAAGCAATAATAGCTGCTTTGTACAAAAACCGTATTGTAAGTAATCCTGTTAATAATCGAGGGATAGCTTTGGTCACCTTACTCAGAAATATGCTTAAAGCTATTCAAGATGCATGTGGTAGTAATTCTATGATTACATTATCTGTTATTTTAAACGGCATTGCAGATCTGACAAATCATAAAAATGACATTATATTCAAAAATGTACATCAATATATATGCAAATCTAAACGATTCCAGTAGTCTTCTCTCTATACACCTTTTGTATTATAGCATTTCCCCCTGTTATCTTTCAGTCTTTCTCTGTCTATGTTTCTAATAATTGCTTGTGATGTAATTAGTTATTGTAAATATCTTCGGAGAGGGGTTTAATAAGTTGAAAGAACTTGTCCCCGATTCTTTTCACATTGTGAATAAAATATGTTTAAACTAAACTCAGAAATATATATATACGTGGGTTTTAAATGAAATGACTAACAAACGGGGCAAATGATAGGTATGAAATTTCTATTCTATTGAAACTTCAAGCGGACTATACAGGGCTATACATCGTCCACACACAACACACACATATTGTACATGTATACACGTCAACCCTTCTGTCACATACGCCCCTCTTGTATTTCAGGCATGTCGTTCACGACAGGTAGTTTTGACCGGAATACGTGGTACGGCATCAACCCTCGGTTTTGTAACCAGTTCCTGGAGTTCCACATGAGCGAGAAGGGAGAGTTCTATGTCGCCAACAGAATGTGTCCGTACGGCTTGTTCTGGCTTCAGGAATACATGAGGTGCATGGCTCCATCTTCCGTCCCATGCAGCATTGGTAGGTGACATTACTTCCTGTTGAGCGTAAGCTCTTCCGGTCCATTTTGGTGCAAGTGCTTTTCATTGTTCAATGGGTTCCATGCCCTATTTCAGAAGGGAGTTCAGTAACTGTACAGTACAACAATCTAAAACTAATGTTAAAGGACAGTTACCATGGAAAGCTGATTTAGATCACAATTCATCTTTCTTAAGCACTAGGTCACACGTATATCTAATGTATTTCATGGCATGCGTTAGGTTTGAGAGTTATTGTCCGGTGTAACGAATCATTCGTAAGGTGTAATGGTATAGGAACATTTTATGGATAACAACTTCTTTATATTCTTTATGCAAGGTTTCAGACTAATTCTTGCTCTTTCGTCAGGAGAATACTTCATCAGTTCTCAGACTTAATATATATACAAGATGAATATGTTTACAAAGCGCTAGGTGGGAGAATGTACAATGTCAAAAAAAACAATATGTTTACAAAGCCATCAGGGGACTTGAGGTGGTGGAGGGTTATAAAAAGAAGTTCTTATCCTTAAAAAGTGTCATGTATTCATGGGCGACCAACTTCTAAATGCCTTCAAGAACTTCAAGGTGCAATGTCGGCCATATGGAATGCAGACGTACCGTAAGTTACCGCCTAGAAGACTAACTAGTGTCACGAATTAATCAGATTTCGCTGCCGCTAATACTGTCCACAACAAATATTTCAGATCCTTGTCGTATGAACGGAAAGACGGGGGTGGTGTATGCTCGCCAGGACACGTGTGGGGGTTTCTACGAGTGTACCCGGGATACCAGCAGCCCCTACATCTACGCTAAGCCGATGTGTTGTCCCCACAAGCACAGGTTCAACAGCAAGCGCGGCTACTGTGTCCCCGATGACAAGTGTAGAGAAGCCTGTGGGGTCCCTGACGATCTGGCATCCGCCAACGGTACGGAGAGCAATGTCCTATATTATAACATGATCAACCTAACAAGCGTGTTGATGAGTGAGTGAGTAAATATTGCTTAACGCCGCATGAGCAATTCGTGGCGAATATTGGTCAGTGGATGCCGTTCGTGTGAAATTTACATTTCATTAATGACTGAGCATCTTAAAAATATTTATTCTTAAAATATATAATAAGGGAGCATAAATTCTGCATCTGACTTGAATGATTATAGTTTATGGACAACGACGTCGCTTACACTGTGCAGAGTTACCCCACTTAGACGCACCAGAATCTAATGATATGTGATCGAATTATAGATTCGCCCTGATTACGATTCGTAGTTTTTGGTCAACATCTTGGAACCTGCATCACCAGGAATCCTTCCTCATGTAACAAAATTCAAATTCTGTTCAAACTGACGTAACTACTGGCGGGTAGCAACCCGCATGTTACACAAGACTACAAACAGAATCGGGTGACAGGCTCGATGAATTGATGTATGTCATCATATTCCAGTTGCATGTTTCGATTTTCATTATGTCAGTCACGTGATTGGCTAGACCAAACTGGATTGTTTATAGACAACCGTCACCAGTGCGGCGTTACATTGACATACACAAACCCCCCAAGAGAATTCTCATGATTCCAGTCACTGGATTGTCTGGTCCAAGCTGGCATGGTTACAGACCGCGGTCTCATATAGCGTAAAACAATGCACAAACAAACGTTTTGACGGACATGAACATTTCAGGTTGCTGGAAGGTGGCCGTGCCATTTGACCGCATGGCATACTACCAGGTGACCGAGAGCCAGAACACCTACGCCCTCCAGGTGATGCCCTGCCCCCCGGGGACCATCTACAGCCCCAAGAAGTGCCACTGTGTCACGTCGGCCATACTGGCGGGACCCGATCTTGTCAACCGTATGTATTTGTATGGTTTAATGTGTTTCGTGAAGATTGCTACCCGGAACTGAAAAAGCAATGTTATTGCTATAACACGAACTATGAATACACAATGCTGTTTAGAAAGTGGTCAAATGTGACATGTTATATTTGGGGTTACATTTCTCAGTAAAGTACAGATTCTAGTACTTTTGTTGGGTTGAGTCCCATCCGGGATTCGAACATTCACCCTCTGAGAGTCCCTGATGGGACTCAACCCAACAAAAGTATCTCAACAATGTTGCTAATGATGAAGGCGACTGGCCTATCAGTATCAAGACCTTGGATCCTCAACGATTTTAAAGATTCTTCTTCGATAGAAATATCAATTGTCCACATTAAGTTTAATATGAGATAAGACGTATACTACTCAAAAAATTAAAAAAGCTTGAAGTTTAAGAAAAATGCTCTTTAACATTTTTTGAGTTTTATATACATGTAATAGAAAATGATGGATTTCACTAGCTTATCCAAATATACGGTTAAAGCTTCGTGGTTGGCTCGTGACCTCAAAGACCCGGACTCGCTTCCCCACATGGGCATAATGTGAGAAACCCATTTCTGGTTCCCCCGCGTGAAACACTCGTTGTTTTTCACATACTGGTATATTTTCAGCTTGCCTTCCTTCTATGCGGTTTAATTTCGACATGGGGAAGGTAGAGGACGTCATGCACTCGGGCGCAGCGTTCGCTCAGCGGGAGGTGAAGATCATCCGAAAGAAGAATCGCATGTGTGCCCGGTTTGGGAAGGGCAGCTTCATCAAGTTCTGGTCCTTTAGCAACAGGTCCCTGGGGAAGAAGTTTGGCTTGGCGTGAGTCAGATTATCTCGTGTTGTTTTGTTTGTTGTTTAACGCCGCACTCAGCAATATTCCAGCTATATGGCGACGGTCTGTAAATAATCGAGTCTGGACTAGACGATCCAGTGATCCACAGCAAGTGGGATACGATGACATGTGTGAACCATGTAAGCGATGACCACCCGATCACGTTAGTCAGTCGCCTCTTACGTGAAGCAGGGGCGGATACAGCTTTTTTAGAAAGGGGGTGGGGGTAGGGGTGGGGGTGCATACTATTGAGAAAAGGGAGGGTGCACATTTCATTTTCACCCGAGCTTCAATGGTCATTTAATAAACGTTCAGGACAAAAAGGAGGGGTGGGGGGTTGGGGGTGCGCACCCCCAGCACCCCCCTTCTGGATCCGCCTATGGTGAAGTATGGGTTGATAAAGACCAATTGTAAGTGAGATCTTCACGGGCAGATTAAATAGTATCAGTTTGTGACTGTATCTTTTTGTGTGTGTATGGTTTGGGCTACACGCTTACTTTAGGAATATCACGGTAATATCTCGTCGGGACAGAGGTTCACACACTGGTATAACATATCGTACCCATGTACGGAATCGAACCCAGGCCGTCAGCGTGACAAGCCAACGATTTAACCACTATGCTTCCATACAGCCCATTCCTCCTGTTTAAAATGACACTAATTGATCTTGACAGATCTTGATATCGGTCTAAACTATCTTGATACAATTCGGATACTGTTCTGGGAGAATTTTTTATATAGCGCACATATCCACGCAACTGGTGCATGCTCAAGGCGCTGGTATTTTTCCCTCGATCATTGGATGTCAATCTCAACGGCACATCGTATTATCAATCTCAACTCCCTGGGGAGTATACAACTCTTGCTGCCACTAGGCGCACCGAGTTATTGTGGCTTTCTCATCCTAACGAGGTACCCATTCACAGTTGGGTGGACTGGGACACATAGTCACAGTACTTTGTCCAAGTTTACTGCACGTTGCTGTACCCGCAACTAGGTGTTTGCACGTATTAATGTGGCCACCATCTGGTCATATACCAGCGGATTCGTGGGTTCTTATAAGTGCACAGGGTTGTGTACTGTACACTAGGGGTTGTGACAACACTGAAAGAGTCTGCACACAAAGTTGACTCCAAGGTTTTTACACCCGGTCACAGGTGGGCTCGATCCCGGCACCTTGCATCTTGACCTTCATATGACCCAGTAGTATCTTAACATCATGTCGATGCTGATATCGACATCACCTCGAAACCATTCTGTTACTACTTTGTAATATCCCGAACCCATCAATATACCACTGGAAGTTATTTTGATCTTGTTGTCATATTGATACCACCTTGCTGCTATCTGTGAAGAATGTGGACATTTTTTTATGGATATACAACTTAATAAAGAAGTTGTATATCCATAAAAATTGTCCCCATTCATCATCTCCTCAACTTCTAGAATGCCAATCAAAGATGATATCTGTGAATGCTATCATCTTGACAATACTGACATCGTGGTGATACAATAATGATGTACAGTACTGACGCCATCCTGGTTTTATCTTGCCTTCCCGTGAAATACCTTAATGTCATCTTGATGATATATTGACACATCTGGTTAAATTGATATCCTCTTGATGCCATCTTGATATGTTAGTGATTCTATCTTGACATAATCGACATCATATTGATATCATCATCATCATCTTTGTTCCATCCTGATATCACATTGCTCGTCTTGATATCCATCTAATATCATCTTGACACATCTTGATATGTTATTGATTCTATCTTGACATAATCGACATCATCTTGATATATTGATATCCTCTTTGTTCCATCCTGATATCACATTGCTCATCTTGATATCCATCTAATGTCATCTTGACACATCTATGTTATTGTCATCTTGACACATCTTGATATATACTGATATTCTCCTTGTTCTATCTTGATATAATTGCTCGTCTTGATATCCATCTAATATCATATTGACACATCTTGATATTCTTTTGTTCATAATCGACATCATCTTGATATATTGATACATTCCATCCTGATATCCATCTAATGTCATCTTGACACATCTTGATATGTTATTGATTCTATCTTGACATAATCGGCACCATCGTAATATATACTGATATTCTCTTTGTTCCATCCTGAAGTCACATTGTCTTGATATCCATCTTATGTCATCTTGACACATCTTGATGTGTTATTGTTCTATCTTGACATCTTCAGCACCATCGTAATATATACTGATATCCTCCTTGTTCCATCCTGATATCACATTGTCTTGATATCCATCTAATGTCATCTGACACATCTTGATGTCCACTTCGTGTCACCTCAGTGCAATACTTCCATGTCGTGTAATATCATGTTGATGTTCCTCCTCCCAGACTGAACTTCCGCATCAACTATGTTCCCAACAAGCCCCAGTCTATCATCAGCAACTGTAACCGGCCCTCAGTACAGCTGTACATCGTGGGCAAGACGCTGTATGCACGTGCAAACAATGTGGAAATAAAACTACCATACAAGGTACACTTCCAGTCTTTGATCCATTCCTCCAGTTGTATTGTTGTAGTCATCAGCATGTTAGTTTGTGAATAATAATAGTGATACTTATAAATGATGATAAAATAAGTAAAAAATGAAATAATAATAAAAAACTGAAAAAAAACAAATAAATTTGTGAGTTTCCATGATATTTTTGATATCTATTTATAGACGTTTTAATTATCCGTATAATCATATTTCAGAAGTGGTTAGGGTTCGAATCCAAAATCAACCCCTTTTATTCCCTTGCTGTTTTAGAACCACAACTATGTTGCAGTATTGTTGTTGGTTTGTTGTTTATATCTTAAAGGACCGACCATCCACAGAATGATCATTCCAGATTCCGTCAAAGACCTCTATGACAACAATATTTTTTTCTAAGGAGAATTTTCTGTGTAAAAAAACTAATGCAATTAAAAATAAAATAACAGTTTTAAAACTAACGGAAGGTTCCTGGAATAAAATTACAAGTCTGTTCTTTTGCTAATGTAGGTATTTACAACGTGCAATGCTTGTAAAATACGTTTGATGCTTTTATTGCATTTCAGATAGGAAAATGGAACAGTGTAAAGTATATTTTCGATGCCACCCGCGGGATGTTTGAACTTATCTGCAATGATGAGGTCCAGATTGAAGGTGTACCCTCAGGTGAGTCAACGTAGGCATATCCTACAGGTGAGTAGCTGTAGGGATTTTACAAAGGTGGGTAGCTGTAGGAATATCATACAGGTGGGTAGTTGTATGAGTATCATACAGATGGGTAGTTGTAGGAATATCATACAGGTGGGTAGCTGGAGGAATATCATACAGGTGGGTAGTTGTAGGAATATCATACTGGTGGGTAGTTGTAGGAATATCATACAGGTGGGTAGCTGTAGGAATATCATACTGGTGGGTAGCTGGAGGAATATCATACAGGTGGGTAGTTGTAGGAATATCATACAGGTGGGTAGCTGGAGGAATATCATACAGGTGGGTAGTTGTAGGAATATCATACTGGTGGATAGTTGTAGGAATATCATACAGGTGGGTAGTTGGAGGAATATCATACAGGTGGGTAGTTGTAGGAATATCATACAGGTGGGTAGTTGTAGGAATATCATACAGGTGGGTAGTTGTAGGAATATCATACTGGTGGGTAGTTGTAGGAATATCATACAGGTGGGTAGCTGGAGGAATATCACACTGGTGGGTAGTTGTAGGAATATCATACAGGTGGGTAGTTGTACGAATATCATACAGGTGGGTAGTTGTAGGAATATCATACTGGTGGGTAGTTGTAGGAGCGAGTTTAGTTTTTACGCCGCTTTTAGCAATATTCCAGCAATATCACGGCGTGGGACACCAGAAATGGGCTTCACACATTGTACCCATGTGGGGAATCGAACCCGGGTCTTCGGCGTGACGAGCGAACGCCTTAACCACTAGGCTAACCCACCGCCCTTCTATGAAAGAAGCCATATAGCTGGAATATTGCGTGTCAGACACCTAAATCGTGGGTCGAAAGCCAGATTCGTCTGATTGTGTTCGTTGATTTGCGCTTACCTGTGCTCGTTGGTTTCATCGAAACACGCTGTGATGTAACTGATTTACACGACGGAATAAGTCAAAATGACAGTCCTAAAATGAATACCTGCCTATCTGTGGTACAGGAGAGGGCCTAGCGGCAACATCATCCTGCCTAACTATTGGACTCTGTCTTGACGGCTCCAGGCATATGGAAGGATTCGATGGCGATCTTGATGACGTAAGTCAAAAATTCTTTTGAAACATTTATCATTATAGGATATTTATATAGCGCACATATCCACGGAACTAGTGCATGTTCAAGGCGCTGGTATTTGTTTTCCCTCGATCACTCCATGTCAATCTCAACGGCACATCGTATTATCAATCTCAACTCCCTGGGGAGTATACAACTCTTGCAGCCACTAGGCGCACCGAGTTATTGTGGCTTTCTCATCCTAACGAGGTTTATACTGCAATAAACCCGTTTGGGTGTATGCCAGCTGTGGCAAATTGCAACGCCATCGGTTCGAACACTGCTACTACTATTACTTCTACTTCTAGTACTACTACTACTACTACTACTAGTAGTAGTATTCTAGTTGTAGTAGTAGTAGTAGTAGTTTGCTGCTGCTGCTACTACTACAGTAGTAATTACAGTAATCTGAGAGCAGATGGTTCGATCCCAGCCCACGTCAATCATAAGACGCAAAAATTGATACTTGTTGTTACCCTGGCTGGCGCTCAGCATTAAGGGAATAAAACCAGGACCTGCTCAGAGTCAGGACACTGTGCGTGAGTGGGATATCCATGTTTATCTACGGCATGGTAGACATATTGACCAGTCCCTATATAAACTCAAGAATCGTGATCTCGACGTTACCACTATTCGGCAGCCATTGCTCCAGCTAACGATACTTTGCTACTCTTGCAGGTTGAGATATTCGAGTGCGCGCCCTCAGACTCGACAACACCAGACTCCCAGAACCAGATTGTGAGCATCTTTCACTAATTTATTATCATCAAATCATCAGTTGACAATGGGTCACGACAGACAAGCGTAGTACCACCACATCCAGTAGACCCTAGCCTCGACATTTTGTGATTTCATTGTATGGACAGTCAAGTCGGCAACATGAGAATATCAAAGACTATCTCAGACTGATGTTGTTGGGACGTCAGAGACCTTGTGTTGTTGTGGACATTCTGGTTTGTGATGGTAGAAATAAATGAAAGTTGATTTCCTCTAACCAGTTGTTGATCAAGCTGGCCAGCTGCCAGTTGCAGACGACTTCCGGTCGCCATGTTTGTTATACTTTTCTCTATTAAATTTTTATGAAAACATGTCTGCTGTAGATTCATTGAAGGGGGAGTTGGCCCTTCTTTTGCACTTCGTGCTGTTATCAAGTCATTCCACATTTACAAATGTTCTATTCATACAGCCGAAAAGAAGGGTTCTACAATTTCATATCTCAGAAACTATTTCTTTACTCATATATAATTTGTCTAGTATAGTTGCAAAAATCCTTGAGAAATTATGAAGTCTACGTTTTCTTTACAACATAAAAAGATACGAACATAATAGACACAATTGCATATTATACCAATTTCCTACATGATTGACATGTTATTGAAGTCGATGCCCTTCCAGCAATCACCTAAGATGGTCACTCGGATAAAGAAAATATGCAAAATATAAATAACAAGGCTCGATTATCCGCCAAAACAAATTGCATTGGTTGTAAAAGGAAAATAGTATTGAAAAGGTGAAGATATGGAATGCGGGAAATGGTTGATGCTACCAGGTGTCCGCGAAAAGGGAAGCATGTACTGCCCCAGTGGGAACACTCGCCACACACAATTTACATAAAGAGTGAATGTTGACAAACATCAATAAACCATTAAAAATGAAAATGCATTTGGGTTATATTTAATTGTCAGTCTAAAAGTCACGTAGAGTTTATTACACACATAAACAAAACAAATTCCATGAGTACAAATCCATACCTACATCTTGAACATCAGATCCAGTTCTAATCACCGTGCGGAACGAATGACTTAGATGTATGAGTGAGTGGGTTAGGTGTACGACGCTTGTAGCAAATATAACAGCAGTATCACAGCTGGGTCACCAGAAATGGGCTTCACACGCTGTACCCATGTGGGGAATCGAACCCGGGTCTTCAGCGAGCGAGTGAATGCTTTATCCACTAGGCTACACCCCCCACCCATGCGGAGCTAATTGGGGATAGGTGTCTAGCATTATCTGACATTTCATATTAAACATAAGAGACAGAAGCATGTACAGCAGGACACTTTCACTGGCCTATGATCTTGATTCATGACCAGTGAATAAATAAACATGACACGCATGACACGAAAAGATACAACATTTGTCAAATTAGGGCGAAATGAGCGTTTTTCGTTTAGAAAGGTTACCACAAAAATGCATTGGATTAACATGGGTGTCATCCTATTGGATGCTTAAAAGGTCTTCTTGGGCATAATAGTGCCATCATTTCCCACGGCGTCTCTGTCTGCGTGTGCGTCATAAAGATGACAACGTCAAAGACGTATAGGTAAATTTACTGTTACATCAGAATTATACCCGGGAGTGACAAATTCGGAAAAAAATACAGAAAAAATCGGATTTCTGTAAAATATGGCATGACAACCGAAAAGAAAAAATGGCTTAAAAAAATAATTTACACTTTTAAATAATTCCGCAGCAGAGCAGTCAAGATCGCTATCGCATTTACCCCTCCACACTAAAGCAACAACTTCAAAAATTCTGTGACCTTTGACGTTCAATGTTTCAAATAGTTACCGACATTACTAAACAGACTTTACAATTCTATTAAAAGATTAACCCTTTGCACCCCTAAACATTCCTAAAAGTGCTGTCAAATAACTGCATTTGTATTTTGTGTGTCGTCCTTTTTTAATTTTTTACTTTTTGCGTCAAACAAACATGACCGGAGACATGTTGAAAAGTGCAACAACATAACACGCTTTCATGAGACATAGTTGCGTGTGATTCGATGGCCAAGTATATACATATGTACGAATACATTATATACAGACATACGTAATCAGCAACAATCTCATTACCATAACTGGCACTCGTCTAGAGATGAAATGCGGTTAAACATAAAATTAATCAGAAAACGTCTGGAAAAACTTACTAAACCATATTTGGAGCCATAAAGGTGTCACATCCAGCCAATCGTGAAATGCCAATGGTGACGTCATGGCACGTGACACGTGACATCACGCCGCTGCCAAGAGAGTTGGAAGAAACTCCCATTGCCTTTAAGAGACGACGCGCTTTCTACCTGTCAATGGTATCAGCTGGTGTAATAATGTCTTGTCTAATTGCCCTGTCTAGACAGTTATGGATACAGGATGTGCTGTCAAGGGCGGCTGTCAACATTTCTCGCCTTGGGATTATGAAGTTTTAGTTGACATTTTGTTTCAACTGACTTGTACAACAGAGCCTTCAGACAACATCCGGGACATCACGGCGTGACATATGACATTTCACCGACAGGTGGCAGGATAAACATGATCTGACGTCACACCAGTGTCAAAAGTCCTTCCATGATCAAAACATATGCGAAGAAAAGACGTTTACCGAGGCAGTTTTTTTAAACAATTTGTACCTGGCACATCACGTATGTTCCATGACGGTACAGTACCGATCAAAAGAATGTACGCACCTGTGCTTCATGGCTTGCCTGTTTGGTATTTAACGAAACACTCAGCAATATTCCAGCTAAATGTCTTATGTCTGTAAATAATCGAGTCTGGACCAGACAATCCAGTGATCAACAGCATGAGCATCGATCTGCGCAATTGGATACGATGACATATGTCAGCGAGCCTGACCACCCGATCCAGTTGGTCGCCTCTTGGGCGATTGATGGTAGCTGAAAAAGAAACAAGAAATGGTTATTTGATGTTATGTTTCGAACTTTAAGTTTTTTGTCGACTGTAACCTCTTGATAACGTTTGTAATTTCTTTGTTCTTTGTCTATAAAAATATGTACGGATCCCATCTGTTTTACTGGCATTTTAGAAGTTGATGAGTAGCAAGAAAGCAAGCATGGGTTACTGAACCAAGTCTGACCAGGATCTTCACGGGTACCTTCATGGGAGGACATCAGAGAGTGAAATCATCTCCGACGGAATTCGGGATGTTGACTTCTGATATATGTTACCGTGTTTGCACAAGCGACTTGCCTTGGCATGTGTTTATGATTATTAAGGTGGACTGGTCTTACCCCAACAATGTGGATGGTTGATTATAATACCAATTATGGCCTGGTCCAGATTTGATTGTTTCATGGCCATTGCTGAAACATTGCTGAAACATTGCTGGCTGTGGCTGTGAACAATAAAGCTGAAGCAACAGGTCTGTTGGTCCAGCTTGCCAACTTGGTTGGTGAATGTCACGTGTGTAGATCAATGCTCATGATGTCAATCACTGGGATGTCTGTTGATTTACAAACTGTTTGCTGATTGCTTCATTGAACACCCAAGTAAACAAAACATAGTGGTTTTTTTTGTTTTTTTTTCTGTTTTTATTGGTTCCCCGGATTACAATGTGATATGTAGAACAGTGATGTACAGACAGAAGGATGATGTACAGGATCTATGTCAGTATCATGTTAATACACATATATAAGTCAATAAAAGAGAAATATGACCTCAGGTAAATTGGATACATATTAAATTCATCAAAGTACTGGGAAGAGAAGACCCCATTTATGATTGAAATCTTCTATTTTATTATTTCTTTTGCATATATAGTTTTTCACAAAGAATATTTCTTTCAAAGTTTTTATAAATAGAGTTATGTTTGGATGCGTATTTTTAATACTGCATACGTAAATGTGTCTTTTTGCTGCAATGATGATGTGATTTAGTAATATATTATGATGTAGAGTACCAAACCAAACCATGTTTTGATATGCAACAAAACATAGTTGCTCCCCAGAGGATGCTTCCTCTTAATCAACATTGAGTAGTTTCGTTTTATGCCACTTTTAGCAATATTCCAGCAACATCACAGAGGGGGCCTGGGACCAAAGGCCCTCAAGTCTTTGCGAGGTTTAAAGATTTAAAAAAATAATTGTCATGATGCATTGTACTGTGTATCATCGACTCGGGGGTCATCTCAAAATATTTGTTTTAATCTTTAATCCTCACAAAGACACGAGGGCCTGTGCCTGGGACACCAGAAATGGGCTAAACACATTGTACCTATGTGGGGAATCGAAACCCGGTCTTCTGCATGAACACTTTAACCACTAGGCTACCCTACAGCCCCTCTCAAGGTTTAAGCTGCAGTTCCCTTCACAAATAAAGCACACAGTTCTCAGTAATGTACAAGTTTATTGACATTTTGATTGTTTTTGACATTTCTGTACAAGAAGACATTATTAATTTTTGGCAGTACATGTAGACATGCTTCCACACCCTTGTCATTAAACAGTCAGAATAATGTGTCGGAAATCTGATGGATAAATATGACTAAAGCATGAGCTCTGTGAAAGGCCTCTGCACTGCACTCATTGTGAAGCACATGTTGTATCGCACCAACTTCAAAACTCTATAAAGAAAGTTATTTGATGAAGAGTAAATATGAACCAAGGGTTACATTCTAAAACATTACTTTAGCCCCATCAACTCCCATTACAGGCACAGTGGCTATATATTCGATATAAGATGATAATTCGGAAGTTACTTATGGTCATTTGGTGAGTGAGTGTGGGAGTGAGTGAGTGAGTTTAATTTGCCACACTCAGCAATATTCTAGCTATATGGTGGCTGTCTGGACCAGACAATCAGGTGATCAACAGCATGAGCATCGATCTACACAATTGGGATATGATGACAGTATGTTCATTTAAATGCCCTGTCTCCCTGTTAGAGTAAATGGACGATATATGGTTAGTTATAATGCCACAGTCAGCAATATTCCAGCTATATGACGGCAGTCTGTAAACAAATAAATATTTGGATCAGACAATCCAGTGACTTATATCATAGGCATCAAAGATGAGAAAAGGTAACTGTCACTGCCAATTTAAGCATTTAAAACCCACTTTCTTTCACTTTCAACTTTTCTTCACTTAACGATACATCAATACTTCCTATATATATGGTCTGTAAGCCTTATTTATGTCAGTAGCTGATTAACCCAGAAACACAGCATCAAATTTGACACTAGTGACTGTTGAAACATCTGCTGAAAATAGGCACCAGATCATGGAACAGTCATTCTTAACATCGATTTGTTTTCTCCTATTAACAAAAATAATAATAAATAGAAATCTATTTTGTGAGTGAGTGAGTGAGAGCGATTTTAGTTTTACGCCACACTCAGCAATATTCCAGCTATATGGTGGCCCTCTGTAAATAATCAAGTCTGGATCAGATAATCCAGTGATCAACAGCATGAACATCGATCTATGCAATTCGGGTATACAATGACATGTGTCAACCCAGTCAGTGAACCTGACCACCCGATAGTCGCCTCTTACAACAAGCATGGGTTACTGAAGATCAATTCTAACCAAAATCAATTCTATCTGCAGGGGTCGAAATCTATTGTATAAAAAAAATTAAAATAAATAATGGTTTCTATTACTTTGAGGATTTTATGATTATATGTAATGAGTATGGTAGGGAAGTAACCATGGTCACAGGATTGTCTGCACCATAACAATCCTTATTGTTCTACTTATTATCCCACAGCTACCTCATTGATAATTATGATCATTATGTCAAGGATTTATCTTCTACAAAGCTAAATCAAGCTAAAATCAATTACATGAAAGATATGCACATTTTGTTGGTGATACTGAAATAGTTCATATTCTTGGTTAAAATAGAAAATGCTGGAAGATTGTTGAAGCTATCTAGTGTATTTCAGGTGTCAGTGAGTACTGTACATGCATCTTTTAACAATATTCCAGCAAAATCATTGCTTGGGACACCAGAAATGGGCTTCACACATTGTATCCATTACAGGAATCAAACTCGGATCTTTGCCGACACAGGCGAACAGTTGAACCACTAGGCTACTCTACCACCCCTGTACCGCAAGGATATTAATATTAATATTTTAATTTTGAGGGTTATGAGTTGTGAGTTACTCTATGTTACTCGTGATCACTAAGTGAGTGAGTGAGTGAGTTTAGTTTTACGCCGCACTCAGCAATATTCCAGCTATATGGCGGCAGTCTGTAAATAATCGAGTCTTGACCAGACAATCCATGTGTCAACCAAGTCAGCGAGCCTGACCACCCGATTCCGTTTGTCGCCTTTTACGACAAGCATAGTCGCCTTTTATGACAAGAATGGGTTGCTGAAGACCTATTCTACCCCGGATCTTCACGGGTCTGATCACAAAGAATATCCCTATCAATCTTGAGTAGTTATTAGCATATGCTACGAGACAAAAACTAGTTTCTAGTTCAAGGCTATCATATGTATTAGACACAGAAAGTATGGTGGCAGTAAAACAACAGATTGTACAAAATGTGGGCACACATTACACAGAATATCACAGACAGAGCTAACCACTACATCCCACTCCTCTGATCTGATCTGTCAAACCTGGGTCTGGACATACCATCAGATAAACTATAGCCAATACGGACAAAGTCTCAGGTTTATTTCCCTTTAAAAGCTGAAACCAACTATCACAAAGGTCATCTGCATGGATTATTTCCCTTGATTGTCAGAAACCAAATAGTGTCACTGAGAGACTAAAGATCACATTGAACTTAATGTTTTGCATTCACAGAGCCAAGGGAGGATTCGAACCACCCTCACTTTGAAAATTCCTGGATTCAGCTCTATTGGTTGTTTGATATTGCAGTCTCCAATATCCAGCTGGTTGTAAATCATTTGATATGGACCAGACGATCCAGTGATTTACATCATGAGCACTGATGTCTGATACTCGGATAAGGGGACAGCAAACCTGAGCACCTGTCAGTTGCTGCTTGACAACAAGCTTGGGTGCTGAAGGCCAATTCGAATCTGGAACCTGGATGTTGAAGTAAAGATTCACAAGGATGCTAAATAATGTGGTATATTCAATCTGAGAATATATCAGATTTTTACTCGAATATGAGTGAAGACTTGAGGACATCTTCATAAGATACAGTGTCTGATGAACTTTACTATCACACTCTCAGTGTAGAGACCAGTAATTCTTGGTATGCAAACAGTGTGGCATACCTGAGTCCTGTATTACTGCTGAGGTCCAAAAGAAAATATATAGCTATGTTATTATATTGCTGTGAGTACTTTATACATCTTGTCAAATGTGACTGCTGCGACATCAACACTAAAAATGGTTGACTATTGGGAAACTTTGCATAATGTAGTGGTTACCATTCGACAAGAATAAAATATCTAAAAATGAAGGTAAATCATCATAGAAAGCTAAAAGCGGATTGGCTATAGAACTTATTTAGTCTTCATTCTGATCGGCTTTTAAAATTTGCTAAGGATTCACCTGAGGAAGCCTCCTATATATATATATATATATATCTTTATAGAGGTGCTCAGTCGGAGTGAAGATGGTGTGTTCAGGACCCCGGCATTGCAGTTTCCTCCCTCTGTCCAATCAGAGCAATCAGCACACAGACACACCGACACTGACACCCATACACACATTCATTCTCATGACACAAAAAATGGACTGATTTCATTTGATGACTTAATGATTCAATCAAGTGATAGCATGATTCATGATTGAAATATCAAGGGACCTTTACCCATGATTGAGTCAAGAGATCATGTGACTGAATCATCCAGTGATCATGTGAATGATACAGCAGTCATGTGATTGAATGATCCAGTGATCCTGCAATTGAATCATCAGTGACCTTGAGACTGAATTATCCAGTCATCCTCTGGTTGAATCATCCAGTAATCGTGTGAATGATACAGCAATCCTGTGATTGAAAGATCAAGTGATCCTCTGGTTCAACCATTGAGTGATCCTGCGACTGAATCTTCAGTGATCGTGATACTGAATTATCCAGTGATCTTCTGGTTGAATCATCTAGTAATCGTGTGAATGATACAGCAATCCTGTGATTGAAAGATCAAGTGATCCTCTGGTTCAACCACTGAGTGATCCTGCGACTGAATCTTCAGTGATCGTGATACTGAATTATCCAGTGATCCTCTGGTTCAACCATCCAGTGATCCTGTGGTTGAATCATCCAATGATACTGAGATTCAATCATTTATTGATCCTGATACTCAATAGAATCATCAGGGGCGGATAAAACATTTTGACAAGTGAGGGGGCACAGTTCATTTTCACCCAATTTCACGAGAGCTTCAATGGTCATTTAATAAACTTTCAAGACAAAGGGTGTGTGTGCACCCTGCACCCCCCTCTAGATCCGCCTATGATGATCAAGGGATTGTTATACAATTCATGCCTGTTATTTTACCAGCAGTAAACAACAGGAAGACAGACTCTAGGGAAGGGTGTGACTACTGTATAATTATGCCCCAATTCTTGCCATATATACACACAGGAAATACAAAATGAAATATACAAGTACATTAAATAGTGAAATATAGTAGAATATGTACAGTAGTTTCAACACCAGCAGCATTGAAACATAAGTTATGCTAATAATTGCACTTGACAGGTGACAGTTCTTTAAGCTCCACTAATGCCTTTGTCTGTGGGAATAGAATAATATGAGAATTATCATTTTTTCAAATACAAAGATTAACTAACCTTTCTGATTCTCTGACAACTTTCAAATCATGCTGACATGTTTTCAAGAGCAGTTATTCCTGACAATATTGCCTGGGAGATATTACTACAATGAAACTCAATCACAATCTTTGCTGACCACTGTGACATCACAATCAAATGACATCACCATACACCCTGCCACTGAAACTGGTTAGCCATGCTTTAACTTCATAACAAATAGATTTGTTGGTTTCTTGTTTAACACCACACTCAGCAATATTCCAGCTATATGGTAGCGGTCTGTAAATAATCGAATCTGGACCAGACAATCCAGTGACCAACATCATGAGCATCAATCTACGCAATTGGGAACCGATGACATGTGTCAACCAAGTCAGCGAACCTGACCACCGATCCCATTAGTCGCCTCTTTTGACAAGCATGGGTTACTGAAGACCAATCTTAACCCGGAATCTCACCCAAGTGTCTATTGACATCAAATATATCAACACTGGCAGAACTTTCCAAGACTTGGACGCCTGAACTATTGTAGACTCATGTTGATATACTTAATATCAAAAGTCAAAGTTGAGATTCACTCTCGAAAATTTCTCATTCATGATCTGGAAATCCAGGAACTTATTAATCAAAATGATTTCACAAAGACTGAGTTAGTGAGTGAGTGAGTGAGTTCAGTTTAACGCCACTTTTAACAATATTCCAGCTATATCATGGCGGGGGACACCAGAAATGGGCTTCATACATTGTACCCATGTGGGGAATGTGAACCCGGGTCTTCGGCATGACGAGCGAACGCTTTAACCACTAGGCTACCCCACTGCCCCTGAGTTAGTACACAGTATTCCAGTAATATTTGTCAGACTCCAGTAGGAAAATAACCTGAAGTTATACAGGTGTCAGACGTTTACAACTTTGGTGAAAAACCCATGAGCAGAAGTATGGTGCCCACTAACCAAGAACCATGGTCGGGCAAACTGGGATTCAAACCTAGGGTCATAGGTTTCACTCATCCAGTTTTACAAAGAAAAAAACCCAAACGGTTTTGCTCACGTTAACAAAGTTTCATTGCAAACAGTTTGAGATTTAAGTGGGAGCTTAATTGAGAACTGTCAACTCATACACGGACAAACTCATCTTAAAAGTACATCCTGGCTCTCCTGAGCTTTGGGTCGCAAGGTAAAAATTGGCATGAAAAGTAGATTTGCAATATAAATATAGATAATTATAAAAAATATTTTAAAAAGCTTTGGCAAAAAATAGCAGAGCTCCACAATAATTGATTAGTCTGTGGTAATGCAAGACCAAGGAAATGCACAAACTGACAAGCGAATCAAGAAGATTGTCTAGCACGCATACTTTCAACCATGAGTCTAGGTTACCTGGAACACTGTAGAAAATGTCAGTAAATAACTACTTATGAAGATAGTTACATCTAATGTTATTGCTGTGTAGATGTAACATCTATATCATGGATAACTGGACCAATGAAGACGAAGAGGCTTTGATGCAAGGGATAGTGAGTGAGTGAGTTTAGTTTTACGCCGCACTCAACAATATTCCAGCTATATGGCGACAGTCTGTAAATAATTGAGTCTGGACCAGACAGTCCAGTGATCATCTGCATGAGCATCGATCTACGCAATTGGGAACCGATGACATGTGTCAACCAAGTCAGCCAGCCTGACCACCCGATCCCGTTAGTCGCCTCTTACGACAAGCATGGCTTACTGAAGATCAATTCTATCCTGGATCATCAGTTGTCTGTTGCTACAGGTCACTAGTCAGGTGAATAACAGTAGTTAACTTCTAAATCTTGTAAGCTACAGCTAAGATTCCAATACCTTTTCACTAATTCATCAGACGTTACGTCAAAAGTTGCGTGGGATTTATAGAAAGTCAGAAGGAACTGCCAAGTGAGATCACACATATACTAGCTATCGCACAGGACACAACAGGAAGATTGTCAGTAAATTTGTTCTTGGAGTGTCTTCATATTACAGACATCACACTTTACACAACGCACTGTGGCAGAAACAGGAATAAACACTGAATCTGAAAGTGAAGGAGTCTTCCCACAGTTGGGGGAAGGCATTTGTTCTGGCACACACGAATCAGCCATTAGACAATACATCGATGTTGGAAGAACTGCACAGGCTGGCAATGTTGTGGTACATTGTTCACCATTCGCAATAAAACTGTCCTTTGGCATCCAAACTGTTGTGTGTATAATGTCCAATAATTCATTTGTCCTGACACCATGTTCTCACTACTTTTAGATGGAATCCAAATATAAGTGATGTTTGAATGTCTCCAATGTCACACCAAAAGTTATACATAGGTCGATGTACAAGACGAAATGTCGGTGATTCCAAGATCAAGCAGGATTCTGCTAACACAAACGAGGACCAGTCCTACTTTTAGAGTCCATCACAAAACCGTATCTCTCACCTGTCATCCACTTGTGGTTGTCGTGTGTTACAATCACATGTCTCCGGATTATCAATATCCGTCATCTATCACGTCACTGTCAGTCTTCTTTCATATTGGTACCACACCAGCCAATTCCACTCCAGTCGCTCGACTCCCAAACAAATCTCACTCATCGTACCGTCACACAGCTAAAATTCAATCACAAATAAAACCATCTATAGCTGCCATTGCATCTTCAGTTTACCTTCAAGTAGGTACCACAATCCTCCAATTTTCATTCATGCAACACACTTGTTAACAGATCTAAGGCGTGCTGGTTCTACCTGTGTAAAACTACGCTGTCTCATCATCCACTTTTCAAAGTGGCACACGTTTTGGCACTTGGGTAAAATGAAGCTAGTTGCTAGCCCGAAAGACAACCGGTGATGATTGACAATCATCATGGTGGGGTGGGTATCCATCCAGTTGCAGTTACCATGGTATCACGTTTCTATGGTAACCTGAGTCCTGATGGTTGTCATGGTAGCCATTGAGAAGTTGGTAAATCCTTTGGAATAGGTAGATGGCTAACCAGAATCATAATTCCTCGAAAAATGCAACACGGGCATTAGAAGTACTGGCACCAATCTGAAATAAAGTGACCAAATATATAATTTCAAAGCCCACTTTCACTAAGCATCAGAGAATATTTTACAAAATGGAGGCTACAGGGGTTTATGTTAAATTACAGGAATTACAATGATGTAAGAGCTAAGGCTATGTTAGTTATATGACAGCAGTCTGTATACAATCGAGTCTGGACCAGACAATCCAGTGATTGACATCATGAGCCTCGATCTACGCACTTGGGATTCGGTGACATGTGTCAACCGAGTCAACAAGCCTGACCAACCGATCGCGTAATTCACCTCTTATGACAAGCATACATTCTGAAGAAAACACTTTTGTAAATATATGCTTACTACTTCGTCTGATGAAAGAGTAAGCATGTTGTATTCCCATACACTAAAAAGGCACCTGCAAACAATTCTATTCACTAGCACCTAAATCTTTGGAAATTACGTTTCCCCTGGATTTGATTATATTCGAAACATACCTTTCTGAGAGTGGAGTACTTGGTCTCCCCCCGTTGGATGATCTCCTCGTGGAGCCGGTCGAAGTCCGTCTGTCGGTCCTCCACCTTCAGCACCTCGATCTCCGTCTTCAGCTCCTTCAGCTGCTCCTGTAGGTTCTTACTCTTCTCCATGTACTCCAGTCTGAAACATCGATCACACATGTGTGTATGTACTGAAACACACGCCACACACATGTACTCCAGTCTGAAACATCGATCACACATGTGTGTATGTACTGAAACACACACCACACACATGTACTCCAGTCTGAAACATCGATCACACGTGTGTGTATGTACTGAAACACACACCACACATGTACTCCAGTCTGAAACATCGATCACATGTCTGAAAACACACCACATCATGTACTCCAGTCTGAAACATCGACATGTGTGTATGTACTGAAACACACGCCACACACATGTACTCCAGTCTGAAACATCGATCACACGTGTGTGTATGTACTGAAACACACCACACACATGATACTCCAGTCTGAAACATCGATCACGCGTGTGTGTATGTACTGAAACACACACACACACATGTACTCCAGTCTGAAACATCGATCACACATGTGTGTATGTACTGAAACACACCACACATGTACTCCAGTCTGAAACATCGATCACACATGTGTGTATGTACTGAAACACACGCCACACACATGTACTCCAGTCTGAAACATCGATCACACGTGTGTGTATGTACTGAAACACACACATGTCCAGTCTGAAACAACATGTACTCCAGTCTGAAACATCGATCACACATGTGTGTATGTACTGAAACACACCACACATGTACTCCAGTCTGAAACATCGATCACACATGTGTGTATGTACTGAAACACACACCACACACATGTACTCCAGTCTGAAACATCGATCACACATGTGTGTATGTACTGAAACACACACCACACACATGTACTCCAGTCTGAAACATCGATCACACATGTGTGTATGTACTGAAACACACACCACACACATGTACTCCAGTCTGAAACATCGATCACACATGTGTGTATGTACTGAAACACAAACACACACACACATGTACTCCAGTCTGAAACATCGATCACACATGTGTGTATGTACTGAAACACACACCACACACATGTACTCCAGTCTGAAACATCGATCACACATGTGTGTATGTACTGAAACACACACCACACACATGTACTCCAGTCTGAAACATCGATCACACATGTGTATGTACTGAAACACACGCCACACACATGAACTGCAGTCTGAAACATGCATCACACACACCACACACATGAACTGCAGTCTGAAACTTGCATCACACACATGAACTGCAGTCTGAAACATGCATCACACACACCACACACATGAACTGCAGTCTGAAACATGCACATCACACACATGAACTGCAGTCTGAAACATGCATCACACACATGAACTGCAGTCTGAAACATGCATCACACACATGAACTGCAGTCTGAAACATGCATCACACACACCACACACATGAACTGCAGTCTGAAACATGCATCACACACATGAACTGCAGTCTGAAACATGCATCACACACATGAACTGCAGTCTGAAACATGCATCACACACATGAACTGCAGTCTGAAACATGCATCACACATGATGAACTGCACATGAACTGCAGTCTGAAACATGCATCACACACACACACATGAACTGCAGTCTGAAACATGCATAACACACATGAACTGCAGTCTGAAACATGCATCGCACACACCACACACATGAACTGCAGTCTGAAACATGCATCACACACATGAACTGCAGTCTGAAACACATGCCACACACATGTACTCCAGTCAACAGGAGTGAGTGAGTGAATTTGGTTTTATGCCGCTTTTAGCAATATAACAGCAATATCATGGTGGTAGGGAACACCAGATATAGGCTTTACACATTATACCTATTTGGGGAATAGAACCCACATCTTTGGCATGATGAGCGAACGCTTTAACCACTAGGCTATCCCACCACCCATACTGCAGTCTGAAACACATGCCACACATGCTACACACATCACACATGCCACACACATGTACTCTAGCCTGTCACACACACAACGACCATCACCTCCAACACACCATGTCCCTACCTCTCCTTCTCTATCTCCATAGACAGCTGATCCATGTCTCGGCAGGTGCTCCACCGGCATCTGTGTCGGAGGTGGAGGAGTGGGGGTCAGTATCGTGTGGTCAAGTTTCAGCTCATTCAGCTCAGGGGGCATGTGGTAACTATGGAAACTCTGAAAATGTGAGGATTGGTGTGAAAATGTAACCATGGCAACTGAGGAGTCCACCTGATGGTTTACTTGCTTCTCCAGCATTAATGTTAGATTATGTCAGCTTATTTAATGAAGACACTAGAACAGATAGTTCAGTATACTATTTGAATGTGTTACTCCAATCTGAGTGATGAGAAAAAGACACGTTACCCCAGCACTGTAGGGGATGTTGGTCCGAGATACCTCCAGGAGCTTGTCCTTGGCAAACTTCTCCGCGATCCTGGCATGAAGCAGTTCATCCTTTAACGTCTCAGCTTCCTTGGCTCTAAGGAAAACAAACAACCGAGACATTAGCAACACTCCTCATTGAGTACTGCTATATAACACAGCATCTTCTATGTATACCAACACCATGTGTCCCTCTACAGACCCATGACCTGTCCCCCTAACTCATGCCCTGTGCTGTTCCCCACATAATAAGGCCAGTTACATAGCCCTGAACTCCACGCATCACGGACATGCTCTTGGCATACAGCATAATAAAATCACTTGCCCTGATCATTTACTTCCACTATAGTGGGTATTATGAATTTATGATTTTTTTAAATAAACAACTGCTTATTAACATTGGAAAGTCAACTGGACACCTAAGTATTATGTGACCGGATACAAATGTTTGCCTTATGCCCGACAGAAACAAACACTGGACTCCGGACTGACAGGGCAACACTTGGGTTATTCCACCCCTGTACAGACCCATGACCTGTCCCCCAACTCATGCCCTAGCGATTTGCTAAATGCCCCACATAATAAGGCCACTCAAATAGCCCTGAACTTATCTAACATTCGGACATGCTCTTAGCGCATACAGCACAATAATTATTATTCCCCGTGATAACACCGGTACCCATTTTCTGCTTGGTGAACAGACACAATTTGGAACAAACTGATGGACATTATTACCACGGATAACACGGGTACCCATTTTCTGCTTGGTGAACAGACACAATTTGGAAGAAACTCCCTTGCCTAAGGTGAGACCATATGTCACGTGTCACCGTTGTGGGGCAGGACCGTAGAAACTCTCAGGAGTGAAGCCACCAAAACAGTCACCCATCCAAAGAGTGTATGTGACCAGCATTGCTTAACTTTAATTGGGTTGTGACCTGAGCTCTCTGCATAAGACCACACACCAAGACATACCTCCTCTCCGAGTCCTCCAGTAGTTTGGCTGCTATCATCTCTGCCTCCCTCGCCCGATGTTCCATCAACATCCTCTCCTCCTCCGTCTGAATGTACACATGACACAGCTGTATACATGCTTCCACAAAATATATTCTATACTACTCAACTGACGCTAAAGAACACCCAAAATTACCATAGTAACTTTGTCACAGCTGGTGGGTACTGAACACACAGAATTCCAGTTGTGGGTATCCTTTAAGTACTTTTGGGTTGTACATGGTTTGTTGCCAACAGCACTAATGTGATTAGTGATAGACTCGGGAGACCAATCGATATTCATAACAAATGAAACATCAAGTTTAAAGCATTTTTCTTATTGTTATGTTTGTTAAAATTGCAACAAGACATAAACAACTGATACAGTTTTTTGACTCATAAAACAGCAATGTAAACAACATACTCATGTATCCTCGATCGTCTTGATCATAGACTTTATCAGTGCCTGTTTCGTTTGCAAGCATCTCAAAGCTTAAGACCATCTTCTCCATACCTTTATTGCCGACACTTTGATCCGATGGACTTCATTTTCCGCTTCTTTTGATTTCTCTCTCAACAACAGAGCCTCCTCGTCCATGATGCGAACCTTCTCCGCCAACAAGTCTGCTGTTTCTTCCGACCTCATCTACACCAGCAGAAATCAACAACTCACTATGTCACAAACACTGTCAGCCACAGCAAGTATTCACAGTACTGAACATCTCTGGGTTTAGGGATCATACAGCCTTGTGCCACATGTGCACGCAAATATGAAATGGCTCATTCAAACTTTCAATATGAGCCTTCTGGGTGCGCCAGAATCATGGTGTAACAAATGTTCTAATCTGGAACTTCAATCTTTATAATTCGCGCTTGGTTTGCTTATCGCGATTTGTGAAAGATCAGGTGGCAGTAGCTTCAGCTATCTGCTCATTTCAATGTGAAAGAATCAAAAGCTTTCAAAAAGCTTCTCTGAATGATTGTTTTCTCTCTGTGATAAGAAAAATAGACAAGGAAACGGTTCAACTCTGAATGAGGATTGCTTCTCTGTTAGAAACATGGTAGTACCCAGAATGCAGTGAGACTGACCAGAGCTTCCTGCGACATGCGGACCTCGTCCTGCAGCTGCATCAACCGCCGCTCCAGGTCCTCCTTCTCCCGCATCATCTCCTCTCGCATCTGCTTCTCCTTCGCCAGCCGCGCCCGGTCCAGCTGCAGCAGCAACCACACCATCATCAAACATCGTCAATAATCCAGCATAGCATATCCCATATCGTCATTACCCTGTACTTATACATTGATATAGTTCCCTTTGAGTCCAGATCTAATGACTCAAAATTCAACAATAATATTTGCAGTGATCTCACTAAAGACATATACTATCAGGCCATTTTCTTCATTACATCCTAACTGTTAAGTTAAATTTTGATAGAACACCATTACATAGTATATGTTTGTTTCTTTGCTTGTTTGTGGTTTAACGCTGCACCCAGTAATATTCCAGCCCAATGGTGGCGGTCTGTAAATAACAGGTGTGCACCAGACAATCCAGTGATCAACAGCATGAGCATCAATCAATACAATTGGGATATGAGGACACGTGTCAACCAAGTCAGTGAGCCTGACCACCCGATCCCGCTATTTGCCTCTTATGATAAACATGGGTTGCTGAAGACCAATTCAGACCCGGATCTTCACGGGTTACACAGTATTATGAAATACAGTAAACTATGTTTATAGAGAACAAGCTTGTAACTGACAGATAAAACAAAGGTTGGGTTCAGACTTGCAGCTTCATTGAGTTTATGTTTTAAGCTGTTTACTTGATCTGGGTTTCAAGTTTCTTGTCAGTTTTTAGAAGAGACTGAAACTACTTCAACTAGTTTTTATTTCATATAAACTATACATTAATTTGGGAAATGACTTCAAATGAGACAATTCAAGGAGAAAAAAACCCTATTGCATTAGTATTGCAATAGTATGTTGCAATAGACTATAGTTGTTTCCCCTTCAATAGTTTCCCCTAGCAACACCAAAGGATCTGCCTTTTGAACTCTGGAACAATGTGATGACATGCATCCCTTCTTATCAGCAACTCCCAACAGAGACTCCACACTAAGGGATTCAGATCAGTTCATTTTCTAAAACACTGACTGATTTTCATCCCAAGTATCCCTTGATATTCAGTAAATTATGCTTACATTGAATTCAGACGGGGCTCTAACTTTAGTTAGTTATAGTGAGTGAGTGAGTTTAGTTTACGCCGCACTCAGCAATATTCCAGCTATATGGTGGTGGTCTGTAAATAATCCAGTCTGGACCAGACAATCCAGTGATCAACAGCATGAGCATCAATCTGCGCAATGGGGAACCGATGACATGTGTGAACTAAGTCAGCGAGCCTGACCACCCGATCCCGTTAGTCGCCTCTCACGACAAGCATGGGTTACTGAAGATCAATATTCTAACCCGAACCTTCACGGGTCTAGTTAGTTATAACCGTAGTTTGTTAAATGCATTTCAACTAAAATATTCTGCAAGTGAACGGGACCAAAAAATCGGTTCCTGTATTTTGCGCTGCTGCATTTATCAACAGATGTCAATTACTAAACCATCAATAGTCACACATACTATCGTTGCATCAATAGTTTTTCGTTTTTACCATCCATTAATTGCTATCGGAGACTCAACAATTGCAATCCATCGATACTTCAATGCATCGTTACAGCCCTAGTGTTTGACATTTGGTCCTTTCACCCACCTGTTTCCGAGCCTTCTCTTCACGTGCTTGGGCCTTCATCTGCTGGGTTTCCATGGAGTCGGGTTTCCGTCTCCGCATGAACAGTTCATGATTGCCCACACACAGCTCCAGGATCTAGACACAGGATCATGTCAAAATAACAGTTGTAAGGGTGCTAGTATGACAATAGTCTGAAAATGGTTTCCTATTTAAAATCACTGACATGTAGAATTGGAAAAGCAAATGTGTAGCTCTAACATACACGGACCACTGAAGAGGTCTGGATTATCACATCCAAATAATATGACACATTGTTGAATCGTCTGGCAAAATCACATTCACATTCATCACCTTTAATCACACACCAATTCACATTCATTTAATAAACAGTAAAACATAATCATCATCAAACCACCATCATCACCAATATCCCCACCACCATCATCAACCACCACCATCACCATCACCACCATCACCACCCTAACACCATCATCACCACCACCACCATCATCATCCACCACTCATCATCACCATCATCACCACCCCACCATCACCCCCAACACCATCCACCACCACCATCATCATCATCATCACACCACCATCATCACCAACACCATCATCACCATCCATCATCTTCATCATCATCAACACCACCATCATCATCCATCATCACCATCATCAACACCCCATCATCATCATTCATCATCCACCACCATCATCACCACCCCAACACATCATCATCTTCATCAACACCACCACCATTTCATCACCACCACTATCATCATCCACCACCATCATCATCACCACCACCATCATCATCACCACCACCACCACCATCACCACCACCATCTTCATCATCACCACCACATCATCACCACCCCCATCATCATCCATCATCACCACCCCCCATCATCTTTCCATCCACCACATCTTCACAACACCATCATCAACACCACCACCATCATCACCATCACCACCACCACCATCATCCACCATCAATCATCATCACCATCCCATCACCACCACATCATCATCACCACCATCACCACCACCATCATCATCACCACCACCACCACCATCATCACTGACACCACCATCACCACCACCACCATCATCACTGACACCCCCATCACCATCACCACTACCATCATCACCACCACCACTATCATCACCACCATCACCACCACCACCATCATCACTGACACCACCATCACCACCATCATCACTGACACCACCATCACCATCACCACCACCACCATCACCATCACCACCATCATCACCACCACCAACATCATCACCACCATCACCATCATCATCACCACCACCACCATCATCACCACCACCACCACCATCATCATCACCACCATCATCATCATCACCACCACCATCATCACCACCACCACCACCACCATCATCACCACCACCACCACCATCATCATCATCACCATCATCACCACCATCATCATCACCATCAACATGATCATGTCATACCTACCAACTTATTAATCCTCAACTTTGGGGCATAGAAAGTGAAATCGGCTGCACCCTTGCCAACATTTTTAATAAGAAACTGCAATGAATAAGAAAATCAGAATTAAAAACTATGAATCATGTTTTAAAGAAAAAGAAACAACAGCCAAATTGTTAAATGTTTAGACATAATGTATTCACACGTTTCTACAATGAATTGTGAAACATCCTAATTACAACTGATTATTCAGAGGTTACGAATCATAATAACCACTGCACTAATGTAAAGCCTAATATCTACAGAAATAATAACTTGGACTAATCTTGATAAGAATTACCTTTTTTGTCCTTAAATGAGATATTCTTGATTTCACTCCAGGGGAATGTTATCTTGGGCGTGAGTCGATTATCCCGCTCGTACACGTTGATCCCCCTAGCATCCACACCCAACCACAGATCTGTATGCTTCTTATTCTGGTAAATGAAACAATGTCACATAAACAAAAGATGGTTGGTTGGTTTGTTGTTTAAGGCCTAAAAAAACCCTGTATGTTGTGGTTCCGATTACCCGACTGACCCTTGAAATCTGGTGCCGACCCTATTTCTTTTTAAGCGGGATGGAAATGAATAAAATAAATTTAAAAGATGATAATAAAAAAAATAAGAGTTCAGATCCCATTGTTTTTTCCCGGCACCGACAGACATCGGTCAATTTGATAGAGAAAGTCGACATGATGGCCGCAAGCTTGATTAAATAAATAATTACACATTGATAAATGTGTTGTAAGTTTGTTCTTTACTTCTAAAAATAAATGAAAAAAAACCCAATTACGACCTACCTACCCTAAATTTTAATCGGAACCACAACATTTTTTTTATTTGGCCTAATGCCGCACTCAGCAGTAGTCCAGCTTTATGAGGGCCGTAGTAGTAGTACACAACTGGCTGCTATTTGTATTAAATAGAACCAAAAGTCAAAGACCATGTGGAATTGTGGTGATCCCAGGCATCATCCCTGTCGACATCAACTCCACCATCACTGGACAGTCTACTTCTTCACAAAGGCAACAGTTACAGATCGACCTGTTCTTTGAAGTCACACATACTCTATTATTTCATTAAGCTTAGTTTATACACATCAGTTTTAACACAGGTGCTGTTTTGAAAACGTAACCACTCTCCACCAAATGCAGTAACATGTATCCTTGTAAGTCTTACCTTAATCTGAAAGTAATTCACTCCATACATCTCAAAGTCCTGGGCTATCTTCAGATACTCAATCTCCGCTTCATCTCTGCAACACACAATCACAGCAGCTATTCAGTGTTCATACCCATAAGGGGGTGAAGGGTTAGCCTGGTGGTTAAAGCATTCGTCGTCACGCCGAAGACCTGGGTTCGATTCCCCACATGGGTACAATGTGTGAAGCCCATTTTTGGAGTCCCCCACAGTGACATTACTGGAATATGGCTAAAAGCGACATAAAACTAAACTCACTCATACACCTAAGTCACTTTTTATCCACATGTATCCTTCCAAACTGGTTGTAAATCTTGTAGGATAGAACAAAACCCAACTGTATATTATTACCTTTAGCTGGAAACTTTTACTTAAATATCCACAAACTGATCCCTGCAATAAGACAATTGTAACTTCCATGCTCTAACGGGGCGGTGGGGTAGCCTAGTGGTTAAAGCGTAGGCTCGTCACGCCGAAGACCCAGGTTCGAATCCCCACATGGGTATAATGTGTGAAGCCCATTTCTGGTGTCCCCTGCCTTGATGTTGCTGAAATATTGCTAAAAGCAGCGTAAAACCAAACTCAGTCAGTCAGTCAGTCCATGCTCTAACACAGGTTTATCACAGTGCTACGATCACCCTACAAATATATGAACTACATGATAACAGTAAATTTTGCTGGAGATATAACACCTGTAGTTATTCTTAGCATGTAACATATTCCACTAGTCAGGGCGGACAGAGAGACCTACCTGGTCATGCCGCGGCGGTCTGCGTACCACACTTTGATTCTCTCCTCCCACATCTCGGGGGTCATCTGGTACTGGTCAATGACCCTCTGGGGCAGCAGGTCCTCGCTGGCCAGCATCCCTGCCTTGTATGTTGCTGGGTCGTAGTCTCCATACTGCAACACAGATGGAATATATCAGATGAGTCTTTTCATATGTGAATAATTACCTCTGTTCACCCAGCAGAAAATGGGTACCCGGTGGGATAAGTCATATGCCTAACTATATGATTAACCTTCTAGCACCACACAGGCAGCTTGGGCGTGGATTCTGGGTTAGACTATTTCCCCAGCAAGTGGTTGTGTGGGGACATGAAATTGATCAAGTGACTTATCTCAGTGACATGCTTGATAGCATATTCTCGTACCTTGATGGCTTATATGTATTGATCACGGGAATGTCTGGTCCAGATTTCCAGTTATAACAAGACTGTGAGTAAGTGTAGAAAGATTCCTGACTGTGACAGCGCCATGTGATTCCAAGCACTGACCTTGGCCTGCACGGCGTATGAGGCGAGCAGCACGGAGGCCTCGGGCGGGCAGTAGATGTCCATGTTGAGTATTGACTGCTTGACCTGCAGGAAGAACAGATGTTGGGTGATCTCCTGGATCAGCTCCTCCGACACATCCTCCGGGTAGAACTTGGCCAGGAACAGGAATGGGATCGGAGTTTCCTTGCCAACATCCTGCCCAAGAACCTGCAACATGAAAAACAGTTATAAGGTGTCCAAGTTGTCATATGTGCTGTCATCATAACTGTTACATTTTAGTTATCTAGGACACATCATCGTGAAAACTATTGCTGGTTATCGCTTACAATGTGCAGGTCGATAATAAGAGCTCAGTAATCAAACAATCAATCAATAATTGATTGTAATTTAAACCACACCACAAAACTCATGTGGGTAATAACATGGCACAATCATAACATTGTGCAAACAAAACAGGCAAATATTAATACAACGATCAAGACGATCGAGGATACTTCCTGTTGAGACACACACACCAGGAGGTTGTTTACATTGCTGGTTTATAAGTCAGGAAACTGCATCAGTTGTTTGTGTCTTGATTTAACAAATACAACAATAAAAAACACTTTCTTAAGTTTAATATGCTGCTTATATTTTTGAATATTGATTAGTCTCCCAAGCCCAACTATAATCGCTGATGCAAGCATGATTGATTGATTGATCGATTATTTCATACACAAGCACTAATGAAAATATACTTCACATCAAAAGTTTAGACTAACAAGTGTAAATACAGCAACTTACTTCAGGCAACTGTTCTAAATGAAACATTTTAAAATATTCCATACCAAAGGTACTGTTTACACATGAACTGATGCATTGTAAAACGAATTCGTAACGTTGAAAACATTATTGGAAGATCAGTGGAAATTCGCGAATTGTTCACAAAATTTTACATCAAAACGCAGCTGTTCACATGCACAATATCTGCACATGCTTTTCAGCAATTTGATGCATGATCCTCGTGCAATTCATCTACATAAGGTTTGCAGTTGGTTCGCCCAAGCTAGTGGAGAAATCCATATTCGATGTAACCATACATATATGCATAACATATTGTGAGTGTTTTAAGTGAGTCTAAACTTTGATGGGAAGTATATATCAATACTTCATAGATCAACCAGTTTTTTAATCTCATCTGCCAATACGGTGTTTTCTATTATTTTACCTTTTTATCAAACTTGAGCCATGCGATGTAGCCCTTTGAGTCTACAAACTGTAGCCCGAAGTACCACGTCTCTCTCAGTCCAATAGTGCGGCACACCAGATCAAACAGTTCCTTCCCCATCGCCTTACTCTGTACAAAACATTTATTACTCGCCATGACATGTACTGCCCAAAAGAAGTCATGGAACACTATATATTTTCATATGATTATAGACAAACACAGTTGGTGGGTATTGAAAACACAGCCTTCCAGGTGGGTATTGAAACACACAGCCTTCCAAGTGAAGGTGTTCTTCAACTCGTTTTGAGTAGTAGCTGTCATAATCTTCTTACAAATGTTAATACAAGATAAAACTTCAATATTTGGGAGGTCCTTAAAATCAAATGCTTTTGAAAAAGCACAAGCACACTCTAATTTAAAACAAATGTTTGCTATTTCCTATCATCATGATCATGTTTATGACAAGTCCCTTAAAGCAAAGTGCCACCACAACTCCATTTGAGAATTGGAACAGTGCGACAGCCTACAAATCACACCGAAGAGTTTGATTCCCCACCTGGGTACAATCATCCTCGATAATCTCCAGGGTGTATGTTTCGATAAATCTCCACAAGTACCCTGGATGCATGTATGGCTCGGCCCGATAATTTTATTACCTCCCTTTGCTGGCTCCGCATTCTCACAGTAGCCAATCAGCTAAGCAGCTGTTACAACCGAGCTTGCCAGTGTCAACAAAGAAGGTTTGTTCGCAGTGCGACTCAGATTTGGGGGGAAATCATACAGACAAACGGACAGGTCTGAAACCTTTAAAAAATATATGCAAGATCTCCTTCTACCTCTTTCAGAGTACCTCTACAACAATTGTGTTGCCAAGTTTAATCGGATAGATAATTTAAAAAAGCGAAAGTGAGTTGTGATTGGTACGCTCAACATCCCAGCGTAGACACCTGATTGGATAAAAAGCCAGCCAAGGGAGGGAATAAAATCATCGGGCCATAGATGCATGACAAATCCATTTTTCATATTGCTGGCATATGGCTAAAACTGGCATAAATGATTAGTCACTCATTCATCTGAGAATCTGTATGCAACTAGCTTCCACTGCCTACTGAGTTTCTTTCACCTACTTTTGTACTTGACTGGATGTGGGTTAAAATATGAACTGTAGTGAACACTACTGCAATGGCATTGATGTTATAAATTACGAATACATCTCAATATCTTACAATGATATATTGTTACACTTCTAATCGTGATCATGATGATGTGAGACAACAACAAATGTTGTGTTATGAAAGTACAATGAAATGGAACATACATTCTGCTGAACTATATGATTTATTTTTTAATAACAAATGTATGACTGGAATTTAAGGAATGAAATTAATGAACACAAACACGTGAATCAGAAAAATGGGGGAAACGCCTGTGTCTCAAATAATACTGACAGGTGATTTATTTGTGCCAATCCCAAATCTCGGGAAACTAAACCTCCGCAGGAAATGATTTCTAAAATTTGATGACATCTTTGTCACTCGCTTGTAAGACTCTCCCGTTGTCATCACGTTAAATTTATTATTACGTCGACCTTTTAAACGATGCAAATCTGCTGTTTCCATAAATTCACTATACCTCGATCTCGAATTCCAGTTCAGCATCCATGGTCGTCACTCGGACAGGGAGGTTCTTGGAGTTTCCTCCGGTAGTTTTCTTCATAGAAACAAGAGGCATTTTCAATGTCTTATTCCCTGTACTCACACATTAAACGACCGAAAGTTTATAATCGATAAATCCTTCATTTTTGACACCCAAAATAGGTCTTTGTTGACTAACTCTTCATCACTTTTCTTCGATGTTGACTACCGGAAGTGTATGTTTTATTATATACAATATGCCTAACAACTTTCTTTGGTTTCCACTTCCTGGATGAGAACCTGCTATTGGGCGTGGGATTTATATTTTAGTTAATGTATTAAATACTGTAACTCTTAACTGTTTATGTGTACTCTTTTGACCATGTCCTGTGCATCGTCGAATGCGGTATCTCGTTAGCATTCATCGTGCCAAACAACAACTTCAAGGTGCAAATATCTGCACTGGGAACTTTGTTATTTCAAAACGCATAAAATCAGCAATTAAAATAAATAATTGTATCAAGTGAGGTGAACCAAGAAACATAATGTTATCTAACGCAATATATTTCTTCATTTGTGGTTACAGTGACACCTTGATGTCTATCGAATGACAGTGTGTAAATATACAATGTGTCCATCTTAAATTATTACAGCAACTTAGTTTTGGTAAGACATTGCCCTCGAACAGTTGTCACATGTAACCTGTAAGCAATAAACCTGTAAATTACAAATTAACCTGTAAATGATCCTTGAACTTTCGATGGTATGTTCTCATTTCGCTTACATCCCATTTCGCCTACAGTCTTAAAACAACATGTCATGGTCTGTTGATTGTTGAGAGATTGACACCGACAGTTGTAAGCACAATATCCTTTAAGTGAGTAAACAGTCTGATATATGTGTCACGGGATTTGCTGGGGAGTAGGGAAAAGGCAACTGGATACATCTGGTCCTACATGTACAAGGCAGTGCAAAACATACACTTGGGTCCAGAGACTGGGGCACACATAACATGTTCCATCCATGTACAGTGTTTCGGCCACAGCAAGGATATCCATCATCTCTGTGGTTGTGAAGATTAGAATCCTGTTGTCATCACCGTCGTCTACCACCAGGAACTGCCGGGCGTCTGAAGTCTCTATCTTAAAAGCTTAAATTTTGTCTCTATTTGTTTGTAATTATTTTAAAAACCACAATCATGCACAAGTCTTGAGGTTGTCACTTGTGACGACAGATCTTATCCTCTTTACTCAACTACATATCCTTATAACAACTTAGTATTCCACAGTGAGAAATTAACTACATCTCATCATCGCATGCATTAATCCCTGTCATTTTATTTTAACCCTGTTTTAACTTCTCAGTGGATGCACAGATCCTGTTTACTCAACTACATATCCTTATAACAACAGTCGATCAAGACTCAGTGAGGCAGGTTCATTATAAGAGTAGGGGGTGCATTCTCTAATCCCAATTCGCCTACATTGTTTTTGTAATAGAGACTAAACCACTTTCGATACCAGACTTAACGAGGTCCCCCTTAAGGAGCCTACTCACTTGTATAAACACTCAATTAGATATAACTAGACAATCAAAGAACACGCCTAATGAGCTTAACAACCAATCGACTTTCGAAACCAGACCGAACGAGCTTACTTAGTTGTAAAAACACTCAATTAAAAGATGAACTAATAAATTAATCATCAATATTAAAAGAAATAACTAAGCAACCAAGCAGGTTTCCATGGCAAACATAATGAGCTTACTCACATTGTTGTCATTGTTTATTCGTGGCTTTGTGTGCTGGCGATCAGGTGCTGGCCTGAAGTGTGGGTTCGAATCACAAATGGGGCTCAGCATAAGGGACTTTTCACAATTTATGGCAGGTGCTAGACTAACAACTAGTCTCTGAAATGAACATATTTTACTGAAAAAAGTTCAAATTAAAAAAAAAATAATATAATGAAAAGGAGCCCTGAGACTTTCTTCATTTTCAGCAGATTGGTACAGCCCCTGAAGCTGAGGAAATCTAGACTTGCCACATTTTCTAGACTTGCGTGGGCTTTCTTGGATATATTTGCTTCAGGGTCTGTACGACAGACTAGGCCGGTGCGTGCGTACGTGCATGCGTGGGATATACAAAATTGCTGACACCCTCCAGTACATGTGTACAAAATGTATGACCTCTACCCCTTAGTCCCAGTACTAGAATCTGTACTTTACAAAGAAAGCATCATTCCAAATGTAAGACATGTCATATCTTTCCACTTTCTAAAGAACAGTGCGTATTAAAAAATCAATAAATGTTCAATGTCGAGCTTGACGAGCTTACTTATAAATCACTACATTAACAACTAATGGAACCGTCACCATGCAACCTGAACAAATCTACTTGCATGTAAATCCACTGGAGGTATTCATCACAGACAAAACGGGACCGCTGACTTGGTTGACACATGTCATCACATCCCAATTGCGTTGACCGATGCTCATGACGTCAGTCACTGGATTGTCTGGTCAAGACTCGATTATTTACAGACTGCCTCCATACAGCTGAAACATAAACATACAGATAAAGCAAAAAAACCAAAACAAACAAAATACTGAAGGATGGATTGGTTGATTGTGTAACGTCGCACTATTTCAGCTATATGGTGGCGGGCTGTAACCATACAATCCTGTGATCAACAGCATGAGCATCTATCCACGCAATTTGGATACGATGACATGTGTCAACCAACTCAGCGAGCCTGACCACCTGATCCCGTTAGTCGCCTCTTACGACAAGTATTGGTTACTGAAGACCCATTCTAACCCGGATCATCTGGAGTCTTATTCTTTATACTATTCATACTTTTTCCAAGAGATCGTATATGCTTGGATGTATGTAGTCTATAGATATTTTCCTAACCATATAGGCATTTTCAAATGCATCTGTTGTACTTTTCATAGGTTACGTGTTAGGTATTTGGTTCGTCGTTGGTAGTATGTTTTACGTCTGGAAATTCAATACACATGCCAAAATATTGGACACATATACCTTTCAAAAGTAATTAGCGATATAGCTAATAAGAGATTACACTCTTGATTTTCGCATATGAATATTTTACTGTTCGAAAATGCATTATCTCTCTTACAGTTATAGGCAGTTTCTAAGAAAGCAGTACCATTATTGAACAGGAAGTTGCAATGTTTGGACATGCGTAATAGTATTTCCGAATTTATTTGGCGCCATTTAGTTTGTGTCAGCAAAACAATATCTTACGGTAGGGACGAGGAAAAACAAGAAAATGCCTCCTCAACTTTCTTCCGGATCCATCGAGGTACTTATTTGTGAAATACTTTGATCTGGTTGAGTTGTGGCATGTTGACATCGTTCAGTCGTAATGAATTTACTTATTTGTCGATATCATGTCAATTTCATGTTGGTTTCGATTTAGTCGTAAGCCGAAATCAACCCGTATGTTGCAGTATGTGTGTATCATTGTATGTATGAATAAATGTTCAATGAGAATTGATTTTAAAAGTGTGTGTTAAAAGATTACTTAGCTTTTAGCTATGTCAGTGGCATTGGCGGATCCAGGAATATTGAAAGGAGGGGGTTCAGGGGGTTCGAACGCCCTGAACCCACCATTGGTTCCGCCAACGAAAAAAAAAAATCTTCAATGTGATCTTAAGTCATTTTGAAAATGGGGTGGTGGTGTTTGAACCCCCAGAACCCCCCCTCTGGATCCGCCACTGTAATATTTGTATTCTTTTCAGTAATTCTCAAATGTATGATACAAGACTTCATCTATTAAATTCGCTGGTAATGATATATCAATCAGTCAAGCAGTAATAGAAATTAGTACTAGTCCTAAAGTCAAACCACCCAGGATTTCAAGTATCACAGGGACTAGTGGATTTCTGCCTCTGTAAAGGGTTAGGCTTTGAAAATTACTACAAGGACAAGTAGACTGAAAATGTTAGTTCCAGCCCCTGCCAAGTGACAAATAGTCAAAGCTTATTTGAACATTTTCAGGAAATCATCGCTGGGAACTCGCCTGATAACCCGATACTGCAGATTATGGTAAGTGCTGTGTAGATATTTAATTCCCCTGGTGTCGTATACATTCATACCACAATGGTACAATTTGCCCTGATCAGTGTGACCATGTCAGAGATTATTCCTTTTCGGTGAAATACAGATTCTAGTACATTTTTAGTCTGTCCCATCTGGGATTCAAACCCACACTATCGACTGAGGCACATGTAGCTTGCACGCAAGGTCGGTGATCTAACCCGCTCAGCCACCACTTCTACAAAAAAGGGACCCTTAAAGGTCTGGGTTAGAATTAATCTTCTGTAACCCATGCTTGTCATCGGTGGCGATTATTTGATCAGGTGGTCAGACTCGATGTCTTGGTTGGCACATGTCATCGTATCCCAATTGCGTAGATCAATGCTCATGCTTTTGATCACTGGTCCAGATTCGATTACTACATTCCGCCACCATATTGCTGGAATTATGCTGAGTGCGGTGTAAAACTAAACTCACTCCACTCATCCTTTTCTTAATCCTGGCAATAAGAAAATAATTAGTTATCAGCAAGGTCTTTGTTAAGTTAAATATTTAACTATGACTGTGAACAGTCAAGGTTGTAAGTTTGGCACTACATGTACCATAATGTTACCATGGTTACACTTGCAGAGTTCCAAGAAAATCTCAGCAGGTGGAGGTGCAGACAGATATCGGCTGCTGTTGTCTGATGGAAAACACAGCTACTCTCGTATGTATTGTGTGTCTTGTGTAGGACTGTTATGATTCTTATTTATTTATTGAACCAAACCATATCCTTTCATTTCATTACTCAAGGTCACTATTATCGAATATTCTTGTTTTAATTTGAATTTTTGTGTTATTATTAATATTAATCAAAGCAAGATACACATAGTGATAGATATGTCCAAGCCAAGCATGTATATTCTTAAACATTTAATTTGGCAGTAATGTGGCACTGGTCATTGTTATGATAAATTATCACTGTCAACCTGGTCAATACATATCAAAGAATTTATTTAGTTATTGTGATCTGCAAAATAATGAATAAAGCATCAACTGCTGACTTGTTATTGTATTCATTACCCAAGATTCAAATTCATTTCCAACTGCTAAAAGCGGTGCAAAACCATACTCACTCACTCACTGATACATATCATAGTGGATTTGTGGCAGCCCCACTGGTGTGTACCTTTCATATGCTTACAGGGATGGAAATAACCCATTTCCTGACGTCCGAGTCCAGTGTTTTTTTTCTGTTGGGCAAACAAATGTATATCACACTGTACCAGCGTCCAGTTGACTTTCAAATGTTAATTATGTTGTTTATCTAAAAACTAGCACGAAAGCAGCCGGTATAGTGGAAAAATGATCAGGGCAAGTGACTTTACATGTGCCACTGTACCGGAGTACACTATCAATTTTAAAGTTATTTCCACTCCTGGCTTACCCTTAGGTTGTTGGGTTCCCAGGCTAGTCTACTGGTTTAAGCGTTCGCTTGTCATGACAAAGACCAGGGTTCCGTTCCCCACATAGGTACAATGTATGAAGCCTATTTCTAGTTTAACCCTCCAGTGATATTGCTGGAATATTGCTGAAACAGAAACCTCACTCATTAAGCTTGTGATACGAGACTTGTGGACGACTGAGACAGTGAGTGAGTGGTTCTAACCAATATTCCAGTAACATCATGGCGGGGGACACTAGAATCAGTCAAAAACTTTAACCACTAGGCACTGCCCCCGACTGTGACTAACTAGGTATAGAGTTCACAGTGATCCACTGATTGGGTTAATTATGTAGTGTTTCAGGGTGCTTCAGGGTGTGGATTCAGCATATTATCAACATGCACGTCATTGTCATTAGTCAAATGATATACTTAATGTTTATGTTAGTAATGACTTGTGTGTGTTAACCAGCACCTGTCTTGTGTGTTCCCAGATGCCATGTTGGCGACGCAGTTAAACGATTTGATGGAACAAAATGAGATCGACAACCTCAGCGTCGTACAGGTCAACAAGTACCTGTGTAACACGCTACAGGGTGACAGGTGAGACTGCTATTATTATGTTTATCAATCAATCTGCCAGTGTATCTTCTTACATGTCTGCATAAGATTTGCAAATATCTTCATTTTCTAATTAATTTTCTGCTGCTTGCATACATATGCACACACACTTCAAAAGTGCACACCGTGCACCATCACCCCTAGCATAAAATGCAAGTACTTCTTGCTTAATAAGTAGTCCGTAACCTTATATATATCAACATTTTAGGCAGCAGAAGAAGATCAAGGTTAGAACTGGTCAACAGCTGCCAATGTTAGGGCTGGGCTGATTCATCAATGCATCGATGCATTGTGATACATTTAAGTTTGATACAGCTATTGTATCATGGACTGGTGTATCGATACAAAAGGATACACAACTATATTTCAGAACAGTATTATCTTAAACATGTTACAGTACTTATTTAGAGAAAAATACGCAAGTATGATAGAGTTACTTGTTTGTTTATTACAATAGTGTTATTGTTATACACAAATACCTTGATATAAATCATTTTAAATTTTGATACCGTGTCATTCTTTCAAGGTGTATGTATCATGATAAGTATCGTATCGCAGGTAAATATTGCGATATGTATCGTATCGTGACATAGTGTATACTCCCCACCCTAGACAATGTGTCGTGGAATGTAACCTATTTGTGTTTTTTGACTCGTGTAGTATGACAGTGTAATATACATGGATGCAGGAATAATTCGGACATTCAAGGCATACTACAATAGATCACTTGTTAGACATTACCTCACCTGTGCTGAGGAAGGACGTGATCAGACACGTCGGATCAACAGCGGATGTCACTCGGTAAAATTATTGATGTGATGAATTCAATGAGGAAGGTTAAACGAACACAAACAACAATGAAAGACTTTTTGCTATGACTATAGATTATTGTTGTGCTTGCTATTCATCGTTTTATAAGCTCTACATTAAATGCTTATTTGTTTTATCCAGATTCGTGTCGTTTTTGTAATAGTAAGGGAAACAACTCTTGCTTGAACTTGGGTCTTGATTCAGTAGTCTGGACAATTTGCAATCCGGACGAATTTGCTGAGAAACGCAACAGTCCGGATTAACGAGGCTTCACTGTAGTTGGAAAATTCTGAGTGCAAAGAAGTAAACAGGAACAGGGTCTACACCATGTGCTGCTCAAACATGATAACCAAGATGAAATGATGCTGTGTATTTCTGTTGTATATACTTTTTAAAATCCTTCAACACCAGCGACTCGTATGTTTTGTGTTTCAACACATGGTTTTGATGTCCCCTTCAGACGAGTTATGATCCTCCTGGATCTGAAGGTCGTGAAGAAGGGGTCAGAGGTCGGAGAGAGAATCGGCAATCCTGTACCTTTCAAGCCTGGCCAAGAAAACACTGCACGTAAGTCGAACTGTTTCTGTCGAATGCACACACTGCACAAGTGTGTATTAGATGTGATCAGGGATATATGTGGATCACCTCACTGGCTGATACTTGGCTCTAAATCTACAGCAGGTAGCCTTGTGGTTAAAGTGTTTGCTCTTCATGCCAAAGACCCGGATTTGATTCCCCACTGGGTACATCAATGAAGCCCGTTTCTTAGCTATGTAGAGACAAGTTCAGAGTTCACTGCATTAAACACATGTTGAATGATACGTTAAAAAATCTCTGATTTTAATCAAAAACAACACTTGGAGTTGTATTCCATCCAAGTTTATCGAATGTTTGGATGAAGTGGCATAGCAAGCTCAGGGCTCCAGATACCTTTTGGGGGTGTGAGTGTACTTACACATCATATTGCAAGTGGAGGTGTACTGACGATTTTGAAGGAGTACTGACATGTTTTTGTGTGAGCGAGTTGGTGATGTGGTATGTCTGGACGATTCATCGATCACTATTTCCAACCATGTATTTGTATTTGAAGACGCATGAGAAATAACTGAGCGACCGTGTGATGCGCGAAATGTCAGGTCCGACTGGATATAAATAGGAACAGTGTAGTTTTTAGCCAATCGAAAAATAGTGACGCATATCGTTGCATTGCAACGCAAGGGATTCCTACTGTCAGGGTTTCCTCATGTGTAAAATCGTGTTTCGCAAAAGAAACTTGACAAGTATTTATCCGAAATAGATTTCCATTTGCACAATACGCATGGAAATTAAATGTTAGCCGTACAAAGGTATTTATGTGCATACACGATACGCTTGAAATCTTATATTATGTCATACTTAATTGATTTTGAGGCGTACATTACGCCTGTGCGCCCCTTATCTGTAGCCCTGAAGCTGTTTTGGTTAGAGTCGACTCCTTTGGTAAAGTTGTTGTGATGGTCTAGTCTGCACTGAACTAATGATTTGTTTCCTTTATTTCCATGTAGCAGCACAACCGAACGGGCAGAGTGCAGGTAAGCAGATGTTAGGTTACGATGTAATATAGCTCATCTTAAGTTTGTTGACTAAAATCATTAACAGTAAACTTGATTGTGAGAGGTGTCCAACTTGATCGAGTGGTCCGACAAGTGACTCTGTAGATGGCATGTGGCCATTCCCAACAGTGTGGATTGTTTGTCACAATAACATGTCTGTTCCAGTCTCGATTATTTTCACCGTCGCCATTTACCTGGAATATTGCTGAGTTTGGCATTAAACAACAAACAAACAAGCACTTGATGATATGACTATATGATGGCTAGATTGCTAATTCTATCTGACATAGTAATGTGTTTGACAAACACATGTATGTTTTCCTTGCAGTTTCTAACGGACCGGCCCAAGTGAACGGAGTCAGCAATTCCTCCAGTAACCCCTCCAGTAACCAATCTCCATACAACAGAAGTGAGTGTGCCCAACAAGGATGTTGGCGCGTTGTCAATCCTGGTGGGTGGGGGGGGGTGTACTTCATCATGCAGTAATCATGATACTATTTTCATGGTGGAATATATTATAAGATATTGATTTTTGGGTGCTGGTAAAATATTGGGAATTTATTTTCACCTGCTCAGAGGTGATATTCGGCAACAAATCTAAAGAAACTGTCGTTAAAATATTCCAATTTGAGTGTATTTGCCTATGTTGTAGTATAACTAACAGCTTTGCTTAGGTGACAAACAATTGCCCAGTACACAAGCGTAGTAAAATTAATGTTTAGTTCTGGTTTTCTCATGAAATGATTTATTAAATTACACCAAAATTTAAGTTTTAAAGAAAGTCTCAGTTGTGAACTAATTATTTATTTGTTAGGAATCATGGTTAAATCCATGATATGAGATATTTTTTAACACAAGGAAACCACCACCACCCACTGCCACTCCACCCTCACCCGCAAAAATGACCCTACTTCCTTCTCTTCACCTCACCTTGCCTCACCTACTCTCAACCCCACCCTAACCCTCACCCCATGAGATGAAGGTATTGTTCATACTGCAGGAAGACTGACAAATTGTAAAGACATACCATGTTCATTTGTACATTTCAGCTCTGACCACAAATCGTTCCCCACAGAAACCATCTGGGGGTGCCGGCAACTACAGTATCCGGGGAGGATCTGGCCCCTCCACCCCTGGGGCATCTCGAGTTCACACCATTGCAAGTCTCACCCCCTACCAGAACAGGTGAGGCAGTACTCAGTTTCCATGACGATTCATGTTAGAATTGGTCATCAGTTACACATGATTGTCATCAGAGGCAACCAACTTTATTTAGCAGTAACGCTTGCTCCCATATTTGATGCTCATGATGTCAATCACTGGATTAGCAAGTCCAGGCATTTATTTACAGAAATCTGTCATGTAGCTGGAAAATTTATGAGTGTGGCAGTAAACAAACATGGCCTAAACATTTGTTCCCTGTGTGGATACTAGTGTTGGGAATTGGTTGAAATCTCACAATTGATGATTGCTTCATTACCAACGAACAATCATCGAAAACAATTTGTTAGCGTCATTTTTCAGATTTTCCTACCAAGGTTGTTATTGCAACATGATGCAACTTGCTACTTTAAAGTGCTGAGTAATATATCATGAACATAAACTTTCTGGAGTCTTCAAGAAATATTCAGTCATGACTTCAGTTAGTGAAGTGAGTTTCTAAGAAGTAAACAAGTTTTCAGGCCCTGACAACTTTGAAGATATGTTCCATCGTCAAGTGTTTCAAACACTAAAACAGCAGTTCCAAAATCGTTTGTGTTCGATTATGAGAAAATGTGATCGATTGCTTGGTCGCTTGGTCACTTCGACCAATCTTCGATTATTTCAATTAATTGGAACACCACTAGTGAATATTGCTGTAATTATCCACCAGGTGGCGGATCAGGGCTCGGGTTACCCAGAAGTCCGGGATCCGGACGTGGAGCAACTCTCGTGGTGAGGGAAAACTATTCAGTGTCAACTTCCTGGACGAGTCCGGGGAAATCCGAGCTACAGGATTTAATGAAGCTGTCGACAGATTCTACGAGCTCCTAGAGGTCAACAAGGTGTACTACGTCAGTCGCGCTACACTCAAGACCGCCAACAAGCAGTACTCCAACGTTCAGAACGACTACGAGATGACCTTCAACCCTGACTCCCAGATTGAAATCTGTAATGAGGAATGCAACCTCCCAACCATGACCTTCGAATTCGTCCAAGTTAATGAACTGGACAAACATCAGGCAAACGCTATTATTGGTGAGGAACAGAAACTTGTGTTGAATCATTTATTTTTATTTTATGAAATACTTATGTTAGAAAGAGATCAAAATCGTTATGTTGATGGTTTGAGTAGCTTCTCATATTGTTAGGATTTGACTGGAGCATGTATACAGTTCAGCATCTGTTGCTATGGTTACAGATGTAGTGGGCGTGGTCAAGGTGTGTCAGGATCTCTCCACTGTTGTTGGACGACAAAGTCAGAAGGAGATCACGAAACGGGATCTGCAGATCGTCGACCAATCAGGGATGGGGGTCAACCTCACTCTGTGGGGGAACGATGTAAGTACTGAAACGTAAACAATGTCTTGCTCCGAATTGATCACTTCTGTTTCACCCAAGTACTTCTCACCATGCATAAATTGTAATACTACTTTCCTAGTAAAATATGTCATAAGATTTTGCATATTTAGTAGTAATACAATGTGTGGGATTTATGTAGACCTACTCAGAGGTTGATATTCATCTCCAAGTCTGAAGAAACTATCAGTAAGACATTGCCAATCAGGTTCATCTAGCCATGTTGTCTTTTATTTTATAAATATTTTATTGTTTTTTAAAGATGTTTTACAGTTGGCCATGTTGTCTTGATCTTGACCTGTTATCAGTCCTGGGTTTCCTTACAATTCCAGAATCATGATACTACTTTCCTGATGGGATATATTTTAAGATACTGATTTTTGGGTAGCGGCAAAATATTTGGAATTTTTCCACCTGCTCAGAGGTTGGTATTTGGCTCCAAATCTGAAGAGACTGAGTACATATTTCAATATCGAGGGATTTTTGCCTTGTCATGTGACTAACTAGATTAGAAATAACTTATGGATTTGCAGAGATGACGAGCATTATACTATTGAACATATATCCACGTCTGTATCTTCCATTTCAGGCCCAGACCTTCGATGGCAGTGGAAGTCCAGTTATAGCTGTGAAGGGTGCAAGGCTGTCAGACTACGGAGGTAGGTCATTCTTCATTCTCAGCTTTGTTTTTGGAAAGAACTGTCTGTAAAGGGGCGGTGGCGTAGCCTGGTGGTTCAAACGTTGGCTCGTCACGCTGAAGACCCGGGTTCGATTCCCCACATGGGTACTCTTTGTAAAGTCCGTTTCTGGTATCTCCCGCCATGATTTTGTTGGAATAGTGCAAAAAGCAGCATAAACCACTCTGACTCACTGTCTGGAATAACTAGGTGTCACAGTAATTTGATTCTCATCATGGCTGAACTTACTGCTGATGTTGAATAATCCATGATTCTCTGACCTGGTTTTGACAGTGTGTGTCATTGTTCATATTTTCAATCACAGGTTTGTCTGGTCCAGACTTGAATATTTACTGTAATCACAGATGGAATGTTACGGAGTGCCACGTTAAACAACATACAAACAAGTTACATGCTCAATGCTTTGTTTTCTTGCAGGCCGATCTCTGTCCGTGTTAGCCAGCAGTCAGCTGATCGTCAACCCAGATATCAGAGAAGCTCACATGCTGCGGGGTTGGTTTGATCGAGATGGACAAAACATGGCCTTCGACAGCTACCGCAACGAGGGAGGCAGTGGTGGGGCAGGTGAGAGCGTGTTGTCGACATCCCCTTGATCAATAATATTGTCATCGGCAGGGAAATAATGTAAAACCTTCTAGTTCCACTGTTCATTGATAGTAGTTATACCACAATCAACAGAAAATGTATCACTTTCATTACATTGATCCCAAAAACTTTCAAAGTAAATTTAGGCTTGCCACGTTTTTAATCATAGAATATGTGTGCTTTTAATTTATGGCTAGATTTCTCTGCTGTCGCCAATGGCTGAGGGGATGGTGTAAATCCAACTAGGGTCCATGCAGGTAGCAAAAGTAATGTCCCCATGGTCCCTGGTATGGTGATCTACCTTCAGTTATTGGCGATTTATAGCCCATTTTTATACTGTATTGTTTTTCCCCTATAGTTAAACCGTTTTAGATTTAATTACTAGTTTTACATACATATCTGTGATATTCTAGTTGTTTTACTGTCCTTCGTCAGCAGGTTTTTTATAATATACATATATTTCATTTCAATATCAAATGTTCTCGTCACGATATGGCTGAAATATTGCCGATGTGACGTTAAATATTAACTCACTCACTCACTCACTCATTACATTGAAATAGATGGGAGTGCCAATGAAATTTTAACCTCATTCACAACTTATGTATTATTTTTGGTTAAGCCACTTGTGACAGTAGTGTTACCAGCTCACCAATATCTTTTGTATAAAACAAGGCCTGTGGGTTAGCCTAGTGATTAAAGCGTTCTGTCGTTCCTGGGTTTTATTCCCCTACAATGTGTGAAGCCCATTTCTGGTGTCCCCCGCAGCAATATTGCTGGTATATTGCTAAAAACCAACTCAACAAGTACAATTATTTGACTGAAATGGGGGCTAGTTATAAGTGGCATGTTGGCGTCCTATATATTAATTACTGGCCAAGTTTACCAAGTAAACCAAGTCCGTAATTTGTCCGATCCATTTAGGCATGGCCACAAACTGGAAGACATTCCAGCAAGTCAAGATGGACAGCTCGGCCTCCGTGGACAAGGCGGACTACTTCACCAGCAAGGGCACTGTCGTGTTCATGAAGAAAGACAACTGCATGTACAAGGTAGGGGCAGAATTAACCCTAATTAACCCACAGTTAACACTAATAAGGGTCCACAGTTAACACTGTAAGGGGCCCTATACTGTAAGGGACCACAATTAACACCTCGGTTAACACTATAAGGGGCCTCAGTTAACACCATAAGGGGGGGCCACAGTTAACACTGTAAGGGACCACAGTTAACACAAGGGGCCTCAGTTAACACTAGGGGCCACAGTTAACACCATAAGGGACCACAGTTAACACCATAAGGGACCACAGTTAACACCATTAGGGGCCTCAGTTAACACTACAAGGGGCCTCAGTTAACACCATAAGGGGGCCACAGTTTACCTGACAAAGGACTCTGTTAACTTGAACCAGGGGCTACAGTTAACTCCCAATATGGAGTCACAGTTAACTGTAACAAGGTGCTACAGTTAACCCTTACAAGGAGCCATGGTTAACCCTTATGTGGGATACCCTTGAAGATTTGCATTAGAATTGGTCTTCAGCAACCCATGATTCTCGAAAGAAGTGACTAACGGGATCGGAGGGTCAGGCTTGCTGACTTGGTTGACACATGTCATCGTATCTCAGTTGGATTGTCTTGTCCATATTGCTGGAATATTGCTGAGTGTGGTGTTATACAAAAGAAAACCAAATCTTACATGCTACCACAGTTAAGCCTTACAGGTTGACAGTTTTATGATATGTTATAGTTCCCCATCCCTTCAAACTCTAGGTTTTCAGAAGCAGATTTTGATGAATGGTCAGGTCTCAGATCTATTAATGATAACAGGTGCTAACAACATGGCTAGTTACCATAATGTAAGAATTACATATTGTTCTTAGGAAACAACCAGAGCACCATTCTTTAGTGTGATACTGAAGCAGCAACTCAATTGACATTATATCTTTGCACCTGGACCCACCCTTGTGTCTTCCACGTCCCACAGTTGCCTCCCTTGTTTCAGGCGTGCCCCACTGAGCAGTGTAACAAGAAGCTGGTGGACCAGGGCAACGGCTTGTACCGCTGTGAGAAGTGTGCCCGCGAGTTCCCCAACTACAAGTGGAGGATGATCCTCAATGTAAGTTGTGCAAGGGGATACATGTAGGCTGCAGTACATATAAATATGTATAATATCAAACTCAAGCTTTTGTAATGAAATACATTTTCAGCTTAATATTACAATAAGCAAAATGAAGTCATTATTCATGGGCTCCTTCTACTTTAGATTCAGGATGTTTATTTTCCAATGCTTATCGATAATCAATGATATTTAGTTGACTATTATTGATCTCTGTGATCTAGTGGTGGTCGATTAATTGAAATAATCGAAGATTGGTCGTAGTGACTAAGCGACCAAGCAATCGATCATGTTTTCTCATAATCCAACACAAACAATTCTGAAACACTTGTTTTCATGAACAATATTTTCACAAGGTTGGTTTTGTCTGTTACATTTCATAAGCACCACAAGTTCGATTTGCAAGTCATGATTGTATTTATCTTAAAGACTCCAAGAAATTTATGTTCCTGACATACTAGTCATCCTTTAAAGATGTGAAATTTTGCCAAAAAAACTACATGTTTTTCCTTATTTTATGTGCATTAACAAATTTCATTAATGACACTAACCAATTTTTTTTCGATGATTGATCGGGTTGTAATAAACCAATCATCAATTGAGATTTCAACCAATTCCCAACACTACTGTGATCTATATTGATAGGTGGCCGTAACTTTAGTGGAAAACCTGTATTGAGTATGTTTGTTACCACCATGTCCTTGTTCTATTGACCAATGTATTGCTGTTGGTGACTCTGTGACTGTATTTCCCAGGCAAATCTTGCCGACTACTCCGACAACCAGTGGGCCACCTGCTTCCAGGATTCTGCCGAGGTCCTGCTGGGAGTTAAAGCTGATGAGTTGGGAAGTCTCCAGCGATTCAGTAAGTATTTCACTGACATGACCTGTAACCCACAGCCTATGCTGGTTGTAAGAGGTGATGAGTCATCGTTATCGATGATTATTCTACCATCAGTGTAGATCTTTACTCAAGGTATATTCAAGTTTCAGACCTTACTGTAGTGGCTGGCAAAGACTATGACAACTTTGAATTAGTTACCTCCCTTTGTTTTGTTTCCGGGATAGGGAGGAAAATGGCCGACTTGGATATTGTCAGTCAGTGTTTTATTCATTTCTTGATTATAATGATTATCAAGCATCACTACTACTTCTACTACTACTCCTACTACTGTTACTACTACTACTACTACTACTACTACTACTACTACTTCTGTTACTGGGATTGGGTGGTCAGGCTTCGCTGGCTTGGTTGACACCGTCATTGGTTCCCAATTAGCAGATCGATGCTCATGCTGTTGATCACTGGATTGTCTGGTCCAGACTGATTATTTACAGACGCCGCCATATAGCTGGAATATTGCTGAGTGGTGTAAAACTAAACTCACTCACCACTTGTTAAAACTACTACTGCTACTACTACTGTTACTAGTACCACTACCACTACTTGCTGCTACTACTGCTACTACTACTGCTACTTCTACTGTTACTACTACCACTACTACTACCACTACTACTACTACTACTGCTGCTGCTACTACTGCTGTTACTACTACTGCTGTTACTACTACTACTACTACTACTGTTACCACTACTGCTACTACTACTACTACTTCTACTACTCCTATTGTTACTACTAAAGAGACCACTACTACTACTACTGCTGCTACTACTACCACTACTACTACTACTCCTACTGCTGCTGCTGCTGTTACCACTACTACTACTGCTGTTACCACTACTACTACTACTACTGCTGTTACCACTACTTCTACTACTACTATTGTTATTACTACTAAAATACCACTACTACTACTACTACTGCAATATAATCATGATAGTGACTGATTGTTTTCCTTCTACTTAAGAATGAAGCCAGTTTTGACCAGGTTTTCCAAGATGCCCTGTTCAAGTCCTACATCTTCAAATTCCGTGCCAAGATGGAAATGTACAATGTAAGTGCTTACTGAAAATCTAATTTAGGTATTTAGCATTGATAAAGTCAGTCACTCTCCCAGGGGTATAATGTGCTGTCTGACATGCAGGATTGTCTCCCCTGTTTATTATGATGATTGTCACCAGCTTTAGCACTAAACTAGTATGTGTGGTTTCGACACTTTACGATGTCTTCATATAACTGAAATCTCTTCTTAGAGACTATTCAGAGTAAGATTTGGTTAAAAGTTCAGTAACCTATAGATTGTCTGGTCCAGATTTGATTATTTATGAACTGCCATCAATTCATTGATGCATGTTCTTTTCAACTGTGTAGATTGATGTGGTGGTCAATCACTGTATTGTCAGATAAAGAATTGGTTATATATAGAATGACATAAGTGACAGGTAGGTGTAAATTGCCTTGGCTGCCAGAGCCAAAAGATAAACAATGCCATTTTTGCAGGGTTGAAATGAAACATGTTTCGGCCAAAGCAGGCCTACCAAAGAAAACTTTGCCAATGTGCAGAAAAACGCAGAAAAGCCCACATTAATCATGAAAATAGCAACATAAACATAATACCTTGCTACTGAAACAGTAAAAACGGCAACGAAAGACTATGAAACTGCAACATTTTTACATCAGCGAACTTTGACCTCTACTGCGCATGCGCATTACGATCCGTGCTTCTTTCCAATTCCGAGCAACCGTGAATCACCTCGAGTAGAAACAGTATTAAATTGGTTGAAGTAATTGCTGTCAAAATCATTTCATACGAATGGAAAGCAAACTAAACAAGTGTGCAGTATCATGATGATAATGCTGAATAACACAACAGAAATACAAGGGAATGTAACTTTTGTCCAAGCTGGAAAATGTCAACATGCGGTCGAGACTTCATCTTTCATGTGAGCATCGCTAAAATCAGTTGCAGACTACTGTTTTTATAGCTTAGTTTTAGTGATTTAATGTTGCTATTTCAGTATTCAGAGGTATTATGTTTATGTTGCTATTTCCACCATTAATGTGGGAAAAGTTTTCTTGGTAGGCCTACAAAGGAGCTTTGCCAATGTACACTTGACAGAGGCGTACACATATATTCCGGGTTCATTACCTATTCATTATTGTCTTTTTCAGGACGAGCAGCGCCTGAAGACTGTCTGTATGTCCAGCAACTCCAATTGATTGGACAGAATCACGGGAAGAGGTTGATCGTGAAATAAACAAATTATCGGGTTGAACCAAGAGGCCTTAAAACCCAATTTTCGATGCGATTCTCCCATGGAGGGAGTATGGAGGTCCAATCAGAGCACTTCTGTCAGAATGCCAGCAACCATGATTCTTGAACAGAACAAGTTACCACTTGCAAGTGATAAAAAGCTGTGACAATTGGCAAATCTCATGGACTGAACTGTTATGGAAATCCTTAAATAATGTTGCCATGGTTACTGAAGGGAATCCATCCTAATGACTGTTTTCAAAGGCTCTGTGGAGTGTATATATACGACCAATTATTCCTGACATTTTGCCAGTGTATATAGATCATATGTGTAAAGATTGAAACATGTATTGAAATGACTGTTTTGTTAATTTACAAGTGCTCATATACATCACTCAAATCGCAAAACATTGTGATGAGAAATGTGGACAACCCTTAAAGTACCGTTTATGTAGAAATCCTAGTGCTACTCAACCAAAATTACCATGTTGGAAATCAGAAATTCATTCTTTCAGTGAAATCTAAACTTGTTTTGTACAACAAAACCAGTTTTAAGACCCTATGGAGATATTCTTCATAAATCGTTAATTGGAATAACACCAGATGTTTTGAGCATATATTTTCATTTCTTTATGATGTATCCATTAGATGGGGAATAAACCAGAACTCACAGATTGTAGTTATGTTGTCATATATGCCGATTACAAACATGTCCGAGCATAGAATCACAACACTTGTTGCAGGTCCTACTACCAAGCATGGGCAGGGATGGCCGAGTTGTCTCTTGAATTCATTACAAACTTCAGATTGTTGTTTAAATCATGTTCAGTCGTGGTTGATGTTTGCGTAAGGTTCATCAATACGGTTCCACATCTGTGACATGCATCACTCTTGACTTTCTTCCCACCTTAGTGGGTGGTGTGAAATGGCCAATGGTTAAAGCATCCGCTAGTCACGCCAAGTCCGGGTTCAATTCTCCACATGGTTACAATATGTGAAGCCATTTCTGGTGTCCCCTGCTGTGATATTGCTGGAATGTTGCTAAAAGCAGCGTAAAACCATACTCACTCCTCAACCCACGATAATTTGATGTGCTGTCATATAATTGGAATACTTTTCAATGCCTCATTTAACCATGTTGACTCTAATACCCATCAATGGTGTATCAACAAATTGACAAAACATGATGCTCACCTACTATGAAAGTATCTTTTCTCTGTAAGAGTCGATGGGACATTTTTCCTTTCTATCTGCCCAAACTCATATCAATCCACTGATTTTGCTGAGACACTGAGCTCTATGGTCTGAGTGGATAGTGTCTGAATGGAGAGCAGAAGTTTGGTGGTTTGATGTTTGGTTTGTGTCATACCATCGGTCTATATAAACTGACGCGCCTCCGTGGTGTAGCCAGTAAGCTTAGAGCGTCACTTTCCGCTCGGAAGCGGAAGGTCGCGTGAGTTCATCCTCGACCCGGCGATCATATAAAAGACGTTAAAATGATGGTACTTGTTGGTCGCCGCCTGGGGCTCGGCATTAATGAGTACAACAAGGACTGGTGGGTTTGGAGTCAGTATAATGTGTCTGGAGTGGAAGTTATTCATGCTTCACTTCGCGGCATGGTATCTCAGTGGGCTAGCACTATAAAACCAGCAGAGTCTGGGCTAGTAGAAGCAGGCGCACAAACACATACACATGCATGCTGCGTCGTCATATGAGCGAAATATTCTCAAGCACGACGGCGTTAACTTCACTTTCACCTCAACCTCACTAAATAAAACTGCTAGGGCGGTGGGGTAGTATAGTGGTTAAAGTGTTCGGTTGTCACACCAAAGGCGGGTTCAATTCCCCACATGGGTACAATGTAAAGCCCGTCCTGGTGTCCCCACATCGTGATATTGCTGGAATATTGCTAAAATGGTAAAAACTAAACTCACTCCCTCACTATGGCTTTGCAGAACTGGTACTTATTACTATGCCTGTCATTTGACAAAGGCACATGTCGGCAGCTTTGTCCCTCGCTGTGTATGGAGTGGACTATCCATGTTTATCTGTGTTATGGTATCTTGATAGCCCAGCACTACAGTGGGTCATGATTCAGCAAGCGCACATGTAGCCAAAGTGCAAAAATCTTGAAAAGTGACATATACCCAATGGCCAACATTGCTGGAGTTTTGCCCGTTGCCTCACCTATGTGGTTCATGACTGAATGACAATGGCTGAAGTTACTATGATGCATGAAGACCTACACACCACCAGCTAATGGATTCAACCAATTGTTGCTTTGTTTTCTTGGCATGCAACAAACTGCGTGCAGCTTGCTCATATCCTAGTTGTGTTGACAGTGACATCTCATCAATCTAGATTCAAGGTATTTTCAAATTCTAGTTTTTATGAAATGGAAAAGATAATGATAATAAACAGAGATTTATAGAAGCGCTTATTTCCAGTTCTGTTAAACTGCTCAAAAGGGGCAATGAATTGTCCTGGGGAATATGTACAACAGTGACCAGCAGCACACAGAGAGAGTTTGCAGTTCAGAGTAACATAGGGTGAAGAGGTAGGTTTTCAGGTGTGATTTGAATGTTTCTGTTCTGAGCAAAGATCGTAATTCAAAGGGAGAGGAATTCCAGAGCTGTGGAGCTCGATTTGGAATCTTCTATTTCAAAAGATGTTGAAGACGAGAGGAACTGTCGGTGGGAGTTGGCTATCCCGGATCGCCAAAGATCTTGCAGGTTGGTATTTGTTAATAAGTTGGTTGAGATGTTTTGAACTTGATCTTCTGTCTACAATCTTAAGCCAGTGTAGAATTCTTCATAGTATAGGGATGATGTGGTCTGATTTTTCTTGTTCTCTTGATTTATCGTTGGCGGAATTCTTGACTTTTTGGAGTTTGTTGATGAGACGGTTTGCCAGGAGGCCATAAAGAAGTGAATTACAATGCAGTCAAAGATGAGACATAACACAGGCTTGCAAACATGGATGAAGTTGGAAGTTGATAGATTAATGAATCGACTGAAAGATGTTCATATAGAATTATGAGCAGACTTACTGCTGACAGCATGAGACTGGCTTCTAGTGTAGAGTCGAGGGCTGACAGAAGATTCCTAGCCCTGGCTAGGGTCCGATGATACTAGTTTGTGTACTTGACTTTGAACTCAGGGAAGTGACAGTTTAGGTCTGTTGGAATTTGATGTTTTTTTACCCAACAATTCGTTTTTTCCTCGTTTCATTTTCTAGAAGGTTTCTTGTCATCCAAGATCTGAGTTGATGCATTTGCTTCGGTTGTTGATATGGATAGAGATTTGAATGAAAGACCTAATACCCTGGTATTCCTCATGCTTTCAATCAATGGGATTGTACGGACAGATAATGACATTTCTGAGCTTGATTCACGACAAAAGCACAAAAGTATAGGAATCCCAAAGGGCATCTCTGTTGGACAAGTTTGCAAATGTTATTGCAATTTCTGGGTACCAAATACGCCCTAAGACACTAAAACAAACTCATTGACACTGGAACATGGGTAAATGGTTTCGCTGTAACACAGCGTGAACCTCAGTCAGTTGTAGGGAAGTCGGTATGTCAATCTGGTATTTATTCAAAGGTGCTGCGTAGCCAACAAATATGAGACCTCCTATTCCGAGTGAGAAAGGTCGAGAAAGCTTCAGGAAGTATCCCATTTTAACAGTAAGTGGTTCAAACCAATCATGAATTTAAAGCTTCTAAATACATTTTGTTTTATGGGTATTGTAATATTGCCTGATGAGATTCTAACAGTGAAACTTGCATCTATATCTCTGCTGCAACAACAACAGCTTAGCTTGTGCTTGGTTTACTTTATAACACAGGCAAAATAGCATTTAAGATGGGTTTATTTGATAGTAGATCATAAAAACAGGAAGGCGACTAAAAGGAAATATATCACGGATTCTTGAAGCTCCCTCGGTATAAAATTGTTTTGAATACAAATACAAAGGATTTTATTGGCATATGGGGTGGAGGCCTAATTTTCAATGACAATTGATTATCAGTTTTCAAACATTGCTTAAAGTTTTTACTGAAGCAACTTTAATGCAGGTATACACTAATGCATTAAATGCAATGCCAAAGTACTTCTGAAGAGAAGAAGACTAGAAAGTCTCCCAGTTTGAAACAAATTTGCAATTTGTCTCTTTATAGAGATTGCTACTGGCACAAGGTGTGATCCGATGATTTTGTCGGCCGAAAAGAGTTTGCATACATACAGACCACTGAAACATGTATTGGCTCATGCTGTTGTCCTGTCAACGGGGTCCAGAACATTGATGAGATTTTACACAGATAAGTGTGGCAAATTCTTTAACCACTGATATTGCCGTTTTCTTTGCCTTCTCATAGCTTGACATGATTTTCACGTTTTCTGACTGGAGCAAACCCTTGCGTTTAGCATCTTAGTCCATTAGCTGAACTGGACTCTTGTCAAGTTTGCATTTCCCTCTCAATGGAGTGTCTTTGGACCAGCTCTATCATGTCCTGCTGCTCTTGCTTTGCTGTAAATCATCAGGTATCAACGTTAAATGTCCAACATTCAAATAACAATTCAAAGCATAATACCAATGGCTCAAATTGCAGAAATCTTTTTTTTAAAAATTGCTGTGTTACATTACCATTATTCTGCTGAGTCTGAATTCCTGTTTCTCTTTAGAATTTCCTAAAAAGCGACTCAAGCATGAAGTAGAACACAAATAAATAGCACAATAATTTTGGAAACTGGTTGGTGATAAACATGAGGAAATGTCAATATAATATTTTCACAACCCCTTATGCCATTCGGACATACAGTCAAATCCCACGATGGGTCTCTAATGCGGTGTCTGAATGTGTACATAACTTCCGTACCTGTCGGTCCGACCATTCCCTGTTATGAAGTCATTTTGATTTCGGGTTACTGAATTAGTCTCGCCGTACACGGTGACTTCGAAGAACTTTGATATGCCGTTAAAATCTTGTATACATAAAGCGAAGTCAGTCAATGAGTTGATTGAATTGTAGCAAAACTGAAGTCAATTAACAAACCGAAAATTACGCACCACCATTGACAGGTGAGTTCAAAAGGCAGATTAGTGATTTTAGAAATCACTGTCTTATTACTAAATGAGACTGGAACGTGGTGCTATTGTGATAGGAAATGGTAGAATAAACAAATGTAGGCGGAGAATTAGGACTGGATCATCTTTTCTTCACCCTCATAGACATACCTATGCCGGGCCACGTAAATAAGTCGAATGTATTACTTGGTCTACGCAGATTAGACCATCGAGATTGGGACGACATATATATTTCCATATGAAAACTTAGCAAGTAAAAATGTGTTTTATTTTTTTCAAACCCCGTAAGTATTGCGCAAGATTTACACTATCAGATAGGAAATTTAATATTCTGCACTTCTATTTAATTTTATAACTGTAGGTAGATCCAGGGGCCACATGGAATTTGGTATTCTTGCACAACATTCACTTTTCGAGATCTTGTAAAATGCTTCAGAAAAAATTGGCATAAAAAGGTGGTTGAAGCTATTTGAGTTTGAGGAGTTGGTTTGACTGCAGAAAAATATCTATTTTGATATTCTTATTAAAGTGTAAAGAAAGATAATGGGTTGCAGGAGATTAAAAGCAGACTGTTATGGGTCG